TTGTCTAGTAGTGATGTTGGGTCATATCTCAGACATGATGATACACTCACCATGACTACTTTTCTTTTGACTATAGCTGATACTTTACTATATATACACTCACCATATTGGAAAAGTTGGCAAAAGTACAGTGTATGAGCTAAATCTGTTCCATGGGTCTCTGGGCTAAGATTGTTACATGCCATTTTAAATGGTTGCACTCTAAATGGTTATAGAAGTACTTACATAATATCTTTTATGTTGTTCCTTAACTAGAAAGTCTTTATCATTTACTGTCTGGCCCATGAAAAGGCTTACTGACTCTTGGCTCTGGATTCTGTTGTATTTCAAAGAGTGCTGAGTTTAGTTTGGCCGGGAAGTTAGCTGTCAGACTTCAGGCTCCTTGCTCTTGTTTGTTTGCTATGTGGCATCTAAATCTTGGTTTCTCTTTACCTGTGTTTATAGTTCAGCTATCCGTAAGAAATCCAAGTGGATTTTGTGTGTAGGGTCTGGGCTTCTGGTGAGTTTCCTTCTTACCTCTATCCTCACTTTTCAAGCTTGTAAGATACGGAATTTTTGTTTAAGGGGAGCCTGCCATTGGATGGAAGTCATTATAAAGGGAATGTGGCAATCCTTCTTCCTAGTGTTGATTCTTCTTTTGTTTCTGCCTGCTTTTGAGTTCCCATGTGTCCAAATTAAGTTATCAGTTTGCTAGAGATTGTAATTTCTATTTGCAGGAAAAGTGGCTTCTTATTTGTGAGCTGCCTGACCATTACCTGAAGCAGAATTCCCTTATTAGGGAATAAGATGGTTACAGATGATAAATTCAGTTTCATTATTTTTACTGTGCTGATAATTGTAGACATATACATATGTCCAAATTAATCAAATTATACACTTTTAAGCAGTACAATTATAGATAATTTAATTGACAATACAACAGCAAAAGAGCTGTGATTAATTTAAATGTCTAAATTTGGAACACCAAGTAAATGGTTTTACTTTAAAAATTCCTTTCTGTAGATTATTCTTAGTTAAGCTGAATTCTTTATACCAGTATAAAATTTTTACTTTTAAGAATAACAATTAAGCCAGATGCCAGTAACTCATGCCCTTTAATCATAGCTACCCAGAGGCTGAGATCTGAAGATCACAGTTTGAAGCCAGCTAGGGCATGAAACTGTATACTTTTATCTTAAATTAATTACTAAAAAAAAAACAAAGGTGGAGCTATGGCTCAAGTGGTAGAGTTCTAACTTTGAGCCAAAAAAAAAAAAAACAAAAAGCTTAGGGACAGAACCCAGGCCTTGAGTTCAAGTCTCCTCCCCCAAATAAAAAATAACAGCTTAGCCTAATGTTGTTGGTAGAGACACTTGACCAAAGGGGAAACCTTTTAGATGAAGTCTTTGGAATCCTCTCCCCAGCAAACCCCAGAGTAATGCTGAGATAGGATATATGCTATCAGTAAGGAGGACAATGTGAGATTATGCTAGCTCCTGAATGGTCTCCTCAGTAGTTGATCTTTCATCCATGTACATCAGTGATTGTGTGTTTAAAAAAAATATTGTTCTTATTAAGGTGATGTACAAAGGGGTTACAGTTACAAAAGTCAGGTAAAGAGTACAAGTCTTTTAGACAGTGTCACCCTTTCCTTCACTCTCTTCCATTTTTCCCTCCCATCCCCACCCACAAGTTGTATAGTTCATTTTCAGCATAGCGATTGTGATTTTGATAGAAAATCAAAAAATAGTGGCTTTTTCTTTTTTCTTCAATCTCTTTAACTCTCCAGAGCAGCTATCTGGATTATTCCTAGAAATTTGGTTGCATTGATTGCTTCTAGGCATTCAAAGTTTTGCTAACACTTAGCCACAAAAAATGTTTGCAAAATACATAATAGTCATGATCTCCAAAGGGTCCTCGCAGGCCCTGGAACACCACAGTGGAGCCTCAGAGATGTTATAGGAGAGTTTGAGGAGATCGTGCTGATCTCGATTCAAGTGGAACTCCTATCCTTAGTAATTGTCCATGACTGCTAGCACCATGCTGCTTCCCTCTGATGGAGTCTAAGTCCACACTGAGGATTGTTTGAAAACCACAGTGAGCAAGAAGCATCTGATCTGAACGTGAGGTTTTTGTATTTTCGGAATACCCAACAGACAGTCAGATCCCATTTGGAAGTCATTGTGCTTAAGTACAAGTGAAGAAAAACACTATTTTTGCAATTTCATTATTTTTATTAAATATATATACATATATGTATATATATATATATATAGCCACTATATTTTTCGAATAGCTACTATGTTTTCCCCAGTACTGGGGCTTGAACTGTGGGCCTACTGCTTGCTCAAAGCTTGCTTGGCTACTGCTTGCTTGGCTAGTGCTCTACCACTGAGCCACATTTACAGCTTAGCTTTTTGCATGTTAATTGGAAATGACATCTTGTATGCTTTTATGTGCAAGCAGATCTCAGCCTGCAGAATAGCTAGGACTCCAGGCATGAGCCCCTGGCACTGGGTTGTGTCTGTTTGGTGTTTGAGACAGCATGTCCCTGTGTATGTCAGGCTGGACTTGAACTTGTGATCCTTCTTTCTCAGACTTATGAGTTGTATCTTATCACTCCTGGCTAGATACAGGGTTTTTTTTGGGTGGTTATTGTTTATTTTGTGCCATTGTGGGGGTGGGGGAGTGAATTCAGAGCTGGGGTGCTGTTTTTGCTCAAGGCTAACACTCTACCACTTGAACCACACAGTTCCACTTAGGTACACAGTTTTAAGGTTAAAGGTTTAAATTTTAAGATTTAATTGCAGCTGCCATGGAAAAACCTTTTTGGGATTGAGGTGCCATGAAAGTTAAAGTGTCAGTCAGTAAAGGCACTGGACCTGAGAAAGTTTGGGAACCTCTAGGTCAAGGAAAGATTTTTCCCTTTGTCAGAATTTCTGTATACTTCTTTGTAGTTTAATACAGCTACAGGAAGTAGAATGTAGATTAGCTTTCTGGCTGTATAACTTATCAAATCTTTTTTTGTCTCTCCGTCTTGAAAATATTTGTTAAGTTATTGGCTCATTTTCCTAACATAGTAAAGATAATTGTTTTTTGATGGTTCCGTTTTTATTTGCATGTTTGTTGTAGTCCTTAGTGATTTAGGGGACCAGACAAATGTGTATTAACCTCAATACATACTTTTATAAGGTAATTAAATGCTACACGCTTTATGTCTAATTATTTCTTATCATTTGTGTAGGTCTAACAGCAAGGCATAATGGGGTCCTTTGTAAGAGTAGAGGTTAATTGAAGGTTTTGACATTTTCTCTTTACTATTAGAGAATTATAATTTGATCTTGAAAATGGGATTTACTGACAGTAGAAATACAGCTATTTTATAAACGTAAACATGCTCTACCTAGAAACTTACTTTGTGAAAACATTAGTTGGTCATTTACTAAGTCTTTGTATAGATTTATCTGGTTGTTTCTCATGTTACCCGTTTTCCACAAAATGCTTCACCTCGAATATGTTCTGAGTTACGCACTACATAATAGTAATTTACATACTTCATAATAGTATTTTCTTTGGGCTTGAATATGTTACTCAGTCTTTGGTAAGGTGGTATTTTGCAGGAAACATGTTCTACCAGCTGCTCCTATTGCTTTCCCTCTTACTACCCCTCCCCCCAACCCTATCCACCTTCACCAGAAGTGTAGTCTAACACCTGTGAAACCTTGATCTTGATTCTCATTCCTCACTGCCCTTGTCACTGCGTTCTGTGGACCTCTTCCCTCCCTGTGTGACTTAAAGGATAGGCTCCTTTCGTGTACTGGTTGTCCTTTTTTTAAAAAATTTTATTTTATTGTAAAGATGCTGTACAGAGTGGTTACAGTTACATGAGTAAGGTAATGAGTATGTTTCTGGTTCCTTTTTCTATCTAGCAAGTACTTGGCTCTCTGTGTACATTCAGACATATTTGGCAAATGAATAATTGAAACCTACAGTATCTCTCTTTTTGCCTAATCACATTTTCTTTCTTTCCTTTTATTTTTTTTTATGCAGTGCCCTAACCATTTCTAATATTCAGGCTGGATCTACGGGAAATTGGGGCTGCCATGTCCAGACCAAACGTGGTAACAATACGAGAACTGTGGATATTGTGGTGTTAGAAAGCTCTGCACAGTATTGCCCGCCAGAGAGGGTGGTAAACAACAAAGGTGATTTCAGGTCAGTGAGAAGGAGAAGTCTGATTTCCCCTGCCTCTGTTATTCCTAAAGGCATATAAATGGACTCCCGTTCTCAGGAATAAATAATGAGATATTTGTGTGCATGTGTGCATGTATATATGTATGTGTCTGTATCTGTGTCTGTCTTTGTCTATCTGTCAGTATCTGTATGTGTTTCTCCAAGGATTTTCTTTTAGAATGAAAAGATGCCTGAACTTTATTTCAGACCTGTTAACAGGAATCTCTGAAAGAGATATTTCTGAGAAATGCCTTTGTTGTAAGAGTTTGAACCTACCACTTTAGAACAGTAGTTTTGATCTTCTGTTGATACAGTGGAGGATTCAGACAGGTTAATGATAGGGCCTTTGTTTCAGGAGTCTTTTACAAATGAACTTTGGAGAGTTTTGTATTGCCAAATCTCTAACTACTGATGGTTGATTAGACATCATAATTGGAGAGATGCATATCTAATTTCCTTCCCCTATTCATTTCTGTTAAATGAGAAGGGCTTGGATAAATAAAAGCCTTTAGGAGCCTGGAACATTCAGAGCCATTGTGATCCCAGGGTTGTCTGCTGGATTCTGAGTTAAGCAGAATCAGATAAATTGTTTTTAGTGCGAAGTTTGGAAGGTGTCTAAGTTAACAACTTACTCCTTAGTTTCTCCTTACTTCCAAAATTGCTTTACACATCTGTGGATAGGCTAGTAATATTATCTCCCAAGATTTGAGTAATGAATTTGTAGTTGGTAAAATGAAAAAAAAAATGATGGCCCTTTTAAGTAGCAAGATTGAGTGCATTTTCTCTGTTGGGTTCTGTTGCTTCCTCTTGACTGTAACACCAGTGTGTTATTATTAAGACAACTGTTTGATATTAATCCTCCAATCCAGGGAGGAGAAGCAATAAGTACATCTTTACTTCTGCATGCCTTCTACTGTTGTTTTTCTATAGGAAGACAGACAGATGATTATCTCTATGTGACTTTTGATATTATCATATAGCATTCAGCATTTATTATCACCAATGTAAAACATTTAATGTGCATTAACTGTCCATGTAATATGACCTGGTTAGTATACTCCTGTGGTCCTCATTCTCAGGAAGCAGACAGAAGGATTGAGAATTTGAAGCAAGCCTAGACTACATAGCAAGTTCAAGGTTACCCTTGATGTATAGCAAGAACCTGTCTCAAAACAAAAAAGCCCCAAAACATTGATCTACATTTATATGTCTTGCTTAGTGCAATGGATAACACCAGTAGTTTTGTGATAGTCAGCATCTTCTGTGAATCATCTGATGCTTAAAGGGAATTTTCTATTTGACTTGTATTTTTGAGTGTTTCACATGTTTTTGAAATAGAAACAACAAAATATTTAACTGCTTAATGAATTATTTATTGTTTGGTACTCCTTAAGATGTTTTAAAATTGAACTCTCACTGCATTTTTAAGATTTGATTTAGTTGCTTGATCTGTCTTTGTAGTTTTTGGTAATGAATTATATTTTGATGTGATTGATAGTATAATTTAGCAGCTTCTCTATTATATGCCAGTTGTAACTTGTTTTAAATATGCTTAATTGCCTTTCCAATTTTAGAGAATTAGAGCGCTGGTAATAAAGCTTTCTTTGCCTCAAGGGGTAATGGCCATGTCTACAGGTTTGTGTGGGTAGTTCTTACCTCATCGATTCTGTTATGTGCTGTGCTAGAGGTCTTTAAGACCCTACCTTGATCAGAAGTTTGCTAGAAGCACTTAGAGGACTTGGCCTAGAGAAGTACTCACAAATAACATACAGGCTGAGGTACATGGCATAGGTGAATCATTAGGGGAAAAGACATCCGTGTGTAGCATCTTCCTCCCTCCCGCGCCACATCCCCCCCCCCCGTGTCCACAAATAAAATTTTATTGGAATATAAACATGTTTAGGCTTCTCAGTTACTGGAGGGGTCACAGACAGTCTGCTGCTACAGTAGGAGTAGGAGTGGAAGTATACTGTTTCTACTCAGGGAGGCCCAGTGGAGACTTAGCACCCAAAGCTTTTTATTCCTAGAGGCAACTCATATAGACCCTCTCTACTTCACATGTACCAAACTCATGGCCTCCAGGAATAAAGCAGGGGTTTACCAGTAAACCAGACTTACTAGTTAGTAACTGACCATTAACTAGTTAATTTAATCCTGCAGCTTCCCAAGCCACAGATGAGGCCCTTCTCGCTAAGGATTGGAGTCTTGCCCCTTTGTTTGTCATATAGCCTAACCATACTCATGCAAATGGCCAGATTCTATTTAATGGACAAAAAGCCTAGTGTTATAAAGGCCAAGGATGCAGTAATGTGTACTAAAACAGGTGAACAAAAATCATCTGTTGCTCTAGTTTTTTTTTCTTTTTCCCTGAGGATGATGCAGTTACATTGTTCCTTTGTAACACTACTGAGAAGATTTTAGAACTTTATTTTAGAAAAAATATGTAATTGTATGATCCTTATCTTCAAGGAGTTTTGTCGACTTCTTGGTTTGTCTCTTGACTATGCACACATCCTCAGTCTCTGCTCCATGTCACTGTACTTGATGTCCTCTCTTATTCTAGGTTTGCTCATACCCTTTTGTCTTCATCTCTCCAGATGGCCCAGAACTTTGGCAGGCATTACAGCCTATCTTCAGTGTTCCCGGAACACCCATGGCAGTGGGATCTATCCCGGCACCCCACAGGATGAGAGAAAGGCGTGGCGCAGATGTGACAGAGGAGGCTTTTGGGCTGATGATGACTATTCTCGTTGCCAGTATGCAAATGATGTTACTAGAGTTCTTTACATGTTCAACCAGGTAACTAGAAAATGTTCCTACCTAGTTAGTGAGGTGATGAATAAAACCATGGTAGTCATGCTACACACACACACATACACACACACACTTAAAAAAAAGGTGATATACAGAGGGGTTACAGTTGCATACATAAGGTAGTGATTATATTTCTTGTCTAACTTGTTACCCCCTTCCCCATTGTTCTTCCCCACCCCATACACACAGTTTTTTAAGTATAAAGATTTAAGTTCTTCAGCTGATTTATCTTTCTCTAGGATCAGGTGCTTTATTACATCCTTTCCAGTCATATGCCTGCTCCTAAAGCAACACGATCATCTGCGTCCACCACACTGATTCCTAGCGGTCCTCCCACATCACGTGGAAGGCCACATCTTGGGTTCCTTTAATAATCCTCTGCCAAAAATCGTCTTTTAAAATACCCATTCAATTACCTTTCTATTTACTGTCTTTTGCATTAGGACATCTTTGTTAACATTAACAGACAGTAAACCACAGGAAGGCAGATTCTGTAATGACTCACTCAGCTTCTTAGCACTAGTTTCCCCTTTCCACCTTGGTTGGTGCTAAGTCAGGGTTTATGTCAGTGTATAAGCAGACATAAAACATTACCAGGTTGCATAGTAGTAAAGATAAGTACTCAGAAAGTGGTTGTGCAGTCAGAGTTCCAGGAGACACAGGATTGATCACTGCCAGCAAGGAGACCCAGGGAAAGGCTTTCCTGAGCAATAGTGAGTAAGGCGTGAGTGGAATTTAGATAAGCTGAGAGGAGGAGGTAGATAGTGTAATGTATTTACTAGGAGTGGTTTTAGGTGTTGTTTTATTTCGTTCCAAGTTTAAAATGAGTCCTTCAAATTAGTGTTCTTCAAAATTCCAGTTTCTTTGAGTTTGAAGCAGCATTTTCAGGCTGTGATGAATAACAGTTGGTAAACCACCGTATCAGCAGTGGAAAGCTCAAGCCTGGAGATGTGGTCTGGAGATGTTAGCTCAGAGCTCTGTTTGCCTTTCTCTGCAGATGCCGCTCAATCTTACCAACGCAGTAGCCACAGCTCGGCAACTGCTGGCTTATACTGTGGAAGCAGCCAACTTCTCTGATAAAATGGATGTCATATTCGTGGCTGAAATGATAGAAAAATTTGGAAGATTTACCAAAGAGGAAAAATCAAAAGAGGTATTTCTTTTTCATGTTCAGATGTGTAGCGTGTGGTGTCAAAAATGATATTATCACAGAATTGAGTCTGTGCTTATAAAGCCTATCCTTGACCTGATGCTGTTGGGAGACTGAGGTGAACCACCCGTTGTTAATCACTGAGGGACTGGGACACAGCAGCGGCCAACATAGTGAGAAAGAAAGCAGCATCCATTCTAGGCTGGGGCTTATTGCTGTGTATTTTGGCCTTCTGGAATGTGTCTTACTGACACAGCCATTGTTCTTCTTTACATGATGTTTAGTTACCCAGATCTTGTAAACTGCCTACTGTCTTACATAATATCCTGGAGAAATGACTGTTTAGGAAGTCTTTTGAAGCCCAAATTAACATATGGAAGTTATCATGAAATGATAATGAAAATAAGGAGGTTTTCCCTGATTTTAGCATGTATACACGTATCAAAATGTTATGGAAGTATATACCATTTACAGTCAAAAACTCAAAGTAGGGTCATGATAAAGCTCCATTTTTCAACATGGTAACCTTTAAGGCAAATAATAACCCACCACAGATTGCATAATGAATGAGCAGCATTTTTTAAAGTTCTCAGTAATTTTTAAGAGGCAGAGTTAAATGTTTTATTAAGCTGCATGAGTGGAGCTATGTGAGAATGTTATATATGCTGATTTCTTCTGTCTCTCTTACAAGACAATAATGTCGGGGGAAGAAAAACCTGGGGTCAAGTCAAAGGCAGAAACCCAGTGAGAATTATGTGTCATTTGTCCAGGGGTCACAGCTGGGTGAGCCCCAGAATGGGAGCAGATCCCAAGAGCCCTGCTGCCTTTGCCCATTCGTGTTCTGGTCCATGTCACCCTCTAGGTGCAGCTGTGATGAACACAGCTTAAATATCCCAGATCCACTAGCGTAGCCAGTGGATAAATAGTCTGCTTATTTTCCTAACTTATTTGATTCTTCTTTTGCGTGGACAGTATTTGCTGGTATTACACATTTGTTTCTGGGTACCAGTGCTTGAAGAATTCAGGATCCCCCACTGTTGTTTATGGCTGGCACTCTACTACTCGAGCTATAACTCTAGCCTGGTTTTTTAATGGTTAATTGGAGATGAAATCTTATTGACTTTTCTGCTTGGGCTGACTTCAATAAAATAATCCCCAGGTCCAACCCAGCCTCCAGAGTAGCTAGGATTACAACCATGACCCTGTATAGTACCCGAAAATATCTTGGATGTTGATAATAAGTTTCAAAACTATGGCCCTTAGAAGTAGAGATGTGGCTAAATGGTAGAACACCAGTCTTGAGTGAAAAAGCCAAGCAAGAGAGTAAGGCCCTGAGATCAAACCCCAAGAATGGCACTAAGAAAGGAAAACAAAGCCCAAAACAACTATGACCCTGGTATGTTAGGCCCTTACTTGTTATAATATGGTCATTAATAAAAGGAAGATTAGTGTGTGTGTGTGTGTGTGTGTAAATGGGACTCAGACAAACTGGCTACTTCACTAGGTGATGAAAGAGCATTGTTACCTGAACTCAGAGACCCTGACACGTGTGTGTGTGTGTGTGTGTGTGTGTGTGTGTGTGTGCGTGTGTGTGTGTGTGTAAATGGGACTCAGACAAACTGGCTACTTCACTAGGTAATGAAAGAGCATTGTTACCTGAACTCAGAGACCCTGACTTTCTAATGTCCTGTCTCTGCTTCTCTATTGCATTGGGCCATGGCTGTTTCCTGTCAAAAGTTTTCTTAGCACTGGGAGGAGCTGGCAAAATTCTGACTCTGGAATTATTATAATCACAGGGTAGCTGCCGCATGATTAGTAGTTCTTCCTGTAAGTGGGATGTTTTGAGTTTCTAGAATAATTGTGATGACATTTGGAATGTGAGTATTGAAGATGTTGCCAAATGATAATACCTATTTGATGTGAGGAATTCTTGCTTACCTCTCAGGCATGCCCACGGTGCACGCTTAGCTGTCATCAGTGAACAGTCTGATACCTTGATATGTATGTCCGTAGGTGGAAGAGTCTTGTTGAACTAGAGATGGATGTAATTTCATGAGCTAAAGGATCATTAAACATGGCCCTTTCTTATTTTTAAAATGAAGTGGCTTGGCGTGACTTTACAAAATATTGGCAAGTTTTGGTCTGGTTTTTACAGGGAATGAAATTAACTTTCTTATCTCTAAAGCTAAGAAGGAAATTCTTTTAAAAATTCTGGAGTATTTTATTTATCTAAAAATTCATTTTGAAGGAGATTTCTGTCACCAGTTAACATAAAAATAATTGGTGATGGTAGTAGCTTACTCAGTATAGACTGGAAATAAAGGAGGAATTCTCAATAAATTATCCATAATGTGGTGACTGACATCCTATTCAATTCCGTGGAAATGATAGGCTGTACCTTTCTCTGTTTATTAATGTAGCCAAAACAAATTACAGACTGCAAGCCTTCATTTTAAGTTAATTACTTCAGTGTTAAATTATGCTAAGATAGCCTAAAATGAATATTGCTTAGATGGACAAATAATTAAATTGATTTTTGAATTACATCCAACAAGTTATTCTGCTTTGGATAATTTCATAACTGAACTACTGAGGTAGTTGCTATTTAAAACTGTGATAAAGCCCAGCCAATACAAGTGAGCAGTCTCTTGTCTTAGGATTATACTGAAAGCTGTCATGTCAAACTGCCAAATCTAAAAGGTATATCTTACTGGTTTTTTTAAAAACAGCTGGAAAGTTGTTTGTCAGGCAACATAGGGCCTGTTCCATATTCACTGGTGTGGGTTTTTTCCTAAAGCCGGTATATATCTGTTTCAGAAGATGAGGACGGATGTATGGAGTAGATTTGTTATGTTTTATAATGCTTTTGTTGTGCTCTGCCTCAGCTTTCTGCTTTATGAAAGACACACCTTAGGCTAGTTTACTTCTAAGTTCAGTTAGTGCTCCCCCCAGACCTGAGACTTGAACTCTGGGCCTGGGTACTGTCCCTGAGCTTCTTTTGCTCCAGGCAAGCGCTCTACCATTTCAGCTATGGTGCCACTTCTGGCTTCTTTGAGTATTTATTGGAGATTAGACTCTCACAAAGTTTCCGGCTTGGGCTGCCTTTGAACCGAAGTCCTCAGATCTCAGATTCTTAAGTAGCTAGGATTACAGGTATGAGCCTCGGCCTCCCGCTCATTTAGTACATTTTTATGTACAAACTTTTATAGTTCTTTCGGGTATTCATTTCAGAGTAATCACTCTGTTTTGACAGTTGGGATTCTTTTATATTTACCTTTTCCTAGACTTTATTAAGTTTTGGAAGGACCTAGAGTCTCTCTTTGACCCAGTTATCCTCCTGGTATATCATCTGTCACTTCCAGCTTGACTCAGATTTAACTGGTCTACAGGGTTGTTCACAGAGCTTGCTTACTCTCCCCCATTCCTCTTCTGAGTCACCAGCTCTGTACTGGTTATGACAGTTGGCATCACCGCTGGCTGTTTCAGGTAGTGTTGGGAAGGATGCATGAGGTATGTCTTTAAGAACCACCATCATATCTTCATTTTCTCCCGTTATGTTGGTCATTAAAAATTTTTTTCCCTTTGAGATGAGCTGTCTGAGAACTTGTTTTTCTGTTGGAAAATATCAGAAGTGGTGGAGAATGTTATTACTAATACCTGTGTTTTTATCTCATCTAGTTTCAACAGTTTTCAGCTTGCCTTCCCTCCATCAGCTTGCCTTCTCTCCCTCCTTTTGTTCTACTCTCAGTGCTAGCGTATTTAACAGTAAATTACAGATACCACATTTCATTTCTGTTTTTCTCAAGTTCAGTTTCTCTCAGAATCACCTGGAGGTTTTGTTGAACACAGAGATTGCTTAGTTATTTTCATTTATTTTTATAAAACAAAAAGAACTTAAGAATGACATTGCCCCATTTGTTAGGAAATGGAAAGGCTTGGAAAAAATTATATTAAGTGAAGTAAGCCAGGCCCAAAGAAACATAGGTCCCATAGTTTCCCTTATTTGCAATAACTAGTATATGTCTTGAGTCAAGCAGAAAAGGTCAGATAAGTTGATGTTAGGGAAATGAACCCTAAGATATGTATTCAAATGTTTTTTTTTTCTTTCATGCAATTGTTTCTAACACATTTATAAGATTATTTCTTTGTTGCTTTGTATGTTCCTCCCCCACAGTATAACCCCTGTTTTCACTGTATTTGATGTTGGTATAATTTGTGGAGGGGAAGGGGAAAAACAAATCGTTTAAATAGGGATACAGGTGGACCAATTGCAACAATGAGATGTACAAGTCGTTATGTCAAAAAAAACTTTACAACTTGGGGGGGGGATTGAGTGCAGGGGGCGGGATGGGAAGGGGAAACAAAGGAGGAGGCAACAATGCTTGATAAGAAATGTACTCATTATCTTGCCCATGTAATTGTAACCCCTCTACAGTATTTTCACAATAAAAAAATAAAAAGAACTTTTGTATTATGCTACCCAAATAAGCTATAACTCTTTTAATATCATCAGTTGTATAATGCACATTCTATTCTTCTTGATTGTGGCTTCTTACATCTGTGGACTTGTGTCTGATTACTTTACTGAATTCTTTTATACAGTTTTGCACTTGATTATCTGTGGTTCACATCAGCAAATGATAATGGGTTTATTGGTTTCTGTATTTTTTTTTCCTCGTTCCCCCTTGGTTTGGACCTGCACACTCACAAGTGGATGTTAGTGGAGAAAGGCTCTGTGAGAGTAATCTGAGGCTCAGTCAGTGTCAATTTTCTTTACTTCTTCAATAGCTCGGGAGCAATACCAAGGTTGGAGGCTCACTTTGAAGATAATTCTAGGTGTGATGGTTTTCAGACCACCAAAAAATGATGTACAGTCTGACATTTGCTTTCTGTGAAGATCAGCTTGTGTTTTCATATTGTCAGAGGGGAAAAACAACAACAACAATCAAACCTTTTTTGACCCTCTACTTCATCCCAGGTCAGGACAGGTACATATCTTTACTGCTCCTGGTTGTGCCAAGTGGTGGTCAGGTGTCCTGTGTGAGTCTCCTATGACTCGACCAAGTCCCTGTACCTGAGTCAGAACCTAGCTCACAGGCAAGGTTGTTGTTGTTATTGTTATTGGTGGTGGTGGTGGTGGTGGTGTGTGTGTATGTTTGGAGAGCAATATCAGAGCTTGAACTCAGGGACTTGAGCCTTCGCCTAGCTTTTTTGCTCATAGCTGGCACTCTGCCACTTGCGGCACATCTCTAGTCTGGCATTGTGCTGGTTATTTAGAAGTGAAAGTTTTGCAGATTTGTCATCCCAAGCTGGCCTCCCAGATTTCAGCCTCCTGGATAACGAGGATGATAGGCGCAAGCCTTTAACCCTGGCTTGAGCTCTGATTCCTGCTGGCTTGCTGTTGCCCTTACAGGGATTTTCCTGTCTTAGCACCCAGTGCTGCACTTACAAGGAAAATCTTTTTTCCTCCATTGTTTTCACGTTTCTCAGGAGAGTCATTCAGAGGGCCAGCCTGAAAGGAAGCAGCCCCATGCAATTTTATAATTAGAAAAACCCAGATTCCAAAGTCTTTTCCTTGGGATGCTTCGAAGACTTGGATTAGGATGCTGTCTTGTTAAATTCTACCATTATCACTAGAGCTCTTCTATAGAACTGTTCAAGGCTGTTTTGTCTGCCTTGAGAAAATGTTCTAGTTTTCCTCCGGCCTTGAGTGGAAGCACACAGAGCCAGCTTTTCCTCAGCTAGCATTTTTCCTGCTGTCTCTTTCTCCCTTTGCTGCTGTTTGTGCTTTGTCAATTAAAAAAGAGTGATCGTGACTGTGTGATGGTTTTCTCCTAAGCTACCCCAGATCCATCCTACCAGAGACGTGATACTAGTACCTGCAGTGGTAGTCTCAGCCTCTTTCAGTAACTCATGCTCCTGTGCTCACCTTCACTCATCATTCTCTTCACCGTGCACCACAGTAAATCAAAGCTGTAATCCTTGCCACTGGTCCTGGCGATGAATACTGAATTTTAACCAGGCCAGCTGCTGAGAGGAGCCTACGGTGGCATCCTGCATCACAGAGGGCACTGGCACTCGTTAATAGTGCCGCCCGTGTGCTTTTAAAACTTGACTTACAAGACAGAGTAGTGCCTTCACTCTGGGTAACCACAGGAGTAACACACCTCAAGATAATTATCTCATTCTTTTACTTCATTTTTATTCAAAGAAAATAACAAAGATTGCTTGAACTTAAGTAACGATAATACCGGTCTGTGATGTGACCCTTGGGACCACATTTGGGTGATAGGTCCCTTTTTTCTATTCTCAGCTCTGTCTTAGCTGCTCCATGTTTCCCAGCTACACACACTGTCAGTAATTCTTTTTTTTAAATTTTTTTATTGCTATTATAAAGGTGATCTACAGAGGGGTTACAGTCTCATAAGTCAGGTAAAGAGTACATTTCTTTTTGCTTATGTGGTGCTGAGGAATCGAACTCAGGGCCTCAGGCATGCAAGGCAAGCGCTCTACCATTGAGCCACCTTCCCAGCCCTGTCAGTAATTCTTGCTTTTCTGTTTAGGAGAATTCACAAAGTACACCTGGCCACTCTGTGTTTGTAAATGTACATAGGTGGAAAGATCTAAATCACTGGGTTTTCATGAAACATTGTATGCACTTATTCCTATTTCTTACTCATATTTCTGCTAGGTGTATGAGGAGATTTTTATTCATGTTTGTGTGTGTGTGTGTCTTCTGAGTTTTGTTTCTTAGCTTGCTTTAGCTTTATCTTGGAATGAGATTCTCAGCACTTCTCTTAGCGCTCCTGGTCTTACTGTTTTGCAGATTAGCAAACTCGGACTCAGACTATCTAATTTGCTCAGACATCTGTAAGCAATACACTTAAATTTTTACCCCAAGACTACTTAATTTGCAGATATACTAATATTTTGTCTTTAGTGTTAAACCAAAGTGTAGTCTACTTCATCAAAATTAAATGCCCTCAAGTTTGTATAATATCTGTTCGGTGTGAGAACAGATCAGAAATTCAGAAATTCACTGATGATTTGGGGTTCATTTTGACCCAAATTCTAAGCAGCATATTACTAAAGAAGCCCATGGGAGGTATGCTGGCCTGTCCCAGATGGGAGCACTCAGCGTTGTTACTCAAGTGGCATCTATTTCTTCTAGTCACATCTTTGATGAAGTGCCTCCTCCTGCATGTTTTCTGTTGGTCCTCATGTAACAAGTGCACGAGCAGGTGTCTGATTCCTTCTGACCCTCTTTGGCTACGGTGTGGCCTTCAGGGAAGGCAGCCAAGGACAAATGTGATGCCTGTTAAGGCGCCTGCAGTTTCTATGCTATCTTCCTGTGTCAGATCTCAGGAATACTTTTCAAACCAGGGTTACTGTTCACACATTCTTATCCTTTTGTGTCCTTCTTTATTTTTTGCCACTGGGACAGATTCAGAGTGCCTGTAACCAGCCACAGAACCACTCTATGGTTCTGTACTTTATGATCATCTGGGGTATATTTTGACAATCAGTACCTTGCCTTACTTCTTAGGCATCTGGTGTCAAATAATGAGAAAAATTGCTTGTTCTCAGCTAAAGCCTTCATGCTTGTTAGTCCTGTACCTTCGTAGATAAGAGGCATTTTTTCTTCCTTCTGTTTTGCAGTACAGGGGTCTAAATACAGGGCTACATAGTCAAGCTTATTATCTAGTGCAGATAATACAAAATGTTCTCATGAGCCAATCTGAAAATCTGATGTTGATTTTGATCACTGCAATGAAGGAAGGTAAAGCACAGGCCTTTTTTTTCATTGCTGTGTCCGCACTGCTGTGACCCTCTGCATCTCACCTTGGCCATCAATAAGCATTTTGTCAATGGACATAGTTAATAAATAATAAGAGTGAACATTGAGACGCACTGAGTAAATAACCATTGATGGCTACTGGCTTCAACCTGAGGTCTGCATCAGTGAGTAGTGGTGTAAATGTAGATAAAGCATGATGTCTCTGTTACCAGGGACACAGTAACAGACAAAAACTTAAGGATAGTACAGATTCAGTAATTCTTTAATAATTAGATCCAGGTATGGTGTTAGGGCTTTCAAGAAGGTGGGAAGACAGGCCCATGCCCGTCCTGAGGCCTGAACTCAAGGCCTAGGTGGTGCATGTGAGCTCTTCTGCTCAAGGCTAGCACTCTACCACTTGAACCTCAGCTCTGCTTCTGGCTTTTTTAGTAGTTACTTGGAGATAAGACTTTCATACTTCCTTGCATGGGCTGGCTTTGAACCATGATCCTCAGATCTGAACCTCCTGGCTAGCAAGGATTACAGATGTGAGCCACAAGTGCCTGGCCTAACATCTCAAATGAGGTTTGTTGGGAAGGGGGGGGGGCTGGCATGTTTTTGTTTTTAACAAAGGCGCAATATGACAACACAAAGTGCCAACATTTTCTGCATGCTTGTTGCGTACCAGGCACTGTTTGAGGAACTTTATGATATTACTAGAATCTGGTCAGCCATAAGTTAGAAGACAGAACTGTTGGTATCCCACTTATAAATGAAGGGAACAGGAGTGCTGAGATGTAGCCTCGCCTGTGATGGTTGCTGCCAGAAGTGCTGGTCTATATCGTATGTTTCCACCCCTTGCTCCACAGTGGAGATCTGCTAGATTTCCACAGGTATGTAGTGCAGGGACTGAATTTCTTCCCAAACCACCCCAGCCCTCATAACCACACATCGTGAAGACTGTTCACATGCTGTGTAGAGCATCTCAACTGGAATCTTCCGGGATGATCAAAAGTCATGTTCCAGAACGGCCATGGCATTCTGGCTTGGCATTGGGGCCGACCACCTTTGATGCTAGCCTCACAATGAGAGGACCCACCGCATGCCAAAGCTCTGCTCTTGTTTTGTTGGTCTCTTGACACTAGTTCTCCCCCCCACACTGCGTAGCTGGCCCAAGGAGTTCCGCTGAGGTGGGATATTCCAGTCAAGGTCACCAGTGAGCTGACTTGGTTATCTGTAAGGTATGAGCGAACCAGTAAAAACCAAGTTCATGAAACAAAACAAGCATTGCAGAGGTGAGCACCTCTTAGGACCCACATATTTGATCACGGAGTGTCATGGAGCATCCACAGAGTTGGAAGACAGGGAAGGAGGAGTTCAAGGTGTGAGGGAAGTACATGCGGAGGGTATGATAGAAGTACACTGTGCACACAGAAAACTTGCGGCACTTGAATGTGTCTGTAATTTTGAACGTTATTCATTGTGTATTTTTTTCATAATGGTTCGATTAAAGGTAATACACAAAATGAAGTTAGGATTTTCTTTTTTGTTCTGGGGTCATGGTCTTCCTTCTACTTAAACTGAGATGCCACATGGTAATCTTGTTGCTGGTAATGTTGTGACTGAGTGTACTTTCTAAGCTAAGTATTGCCAAATGACTGTAATCAAATGTGCTGTTTTAATGAGGAAGAAGTTGAAGCGCCTATGGGGTTTCATACCAAAACAAAAAAAGTTAAAAAGAAATGTGGACAGAAGGTAAATCTCGGTTGTGTCTTTAGGATTTTGATTTGTCAAACAGCTGGTCTTCGCTCTCAAGGTCTTTCTCCTTTCTTCCACATGCACGGTAGCTAGGTGACGTCATGGTAGACATAGCAAGCAACATCATGTTGGCTGATGAACGTGTGCTGTGGCTGGCCCAGAGGGAAGCGAAAGCCTGCAGTAGAATTGTTCAGTGCCTGCAGCGCATTGCCACGCACCGGCTGGCCAGCGGAGCTCACGTGTACTCCACCGTAAGTATGGGGATACCATGTGCTTCTACGAAAGATTCCCTGAGCTCAGGCAACTCCAGCCCAAAAGGCCAGGACTCCTCCCAGGGTGCGGTGGGTTTTCTGTTTCCACTGGCTTGTACAAAATGCCTTTCTCTAAAACATTTTAAAAGTTAATTGGGGGCTAGGAAGGTAGCTCAGTGGTAGAGTGCTTGCCCCTCATGCAGGAGGCACCACATAAACAAAAAAGGCTGGAAGTGGCGCTGTGGCTCAAGTGGTAGAGCACTAGCCTTGAGCTGAAGAGCTGAGGGACAGTGCCCAGGCCCAGAGTTCAAGCCCCACGACCGACCAAAAAATAAAAGTTAATTTTGCCTTTGAGTAAAAAATTTTCCAGTTACTCTAGAAAAGACCTTTTTGCTCTATGATCTGTATGGTGGTCACCATGTGATGTTTTGAAAGTGTTTCGAGGGCAGAAATAAACACTGTTGTCTTGCTGTACTGGGCCTCACCAGTGCTGTACCTGAGCTAATGTTCGGTTCTGGGTCTTGGGATGTACAGGGAAAGGAACTGAGATAGTCACTCAACTAGATGCATTAGATTTTATTTTGCTACGTTGAACTGTTTGGGATTTCCTAATGTTTTGCTTACTTTTTATTCTAGACATGAATAAATATGGCAATAATGTGTTGTTTTGACATTCACATTCTGATCTAGCCCATGGTTTCTATTTTCTAACTATTATACGGTGGGTCACGTGGTGTCGAGCATTGTCCAGTTCCACCTGTGTTTTCATATTCATGTGATTCATGATGATCATTTTTCCTGTGTGCCTTCCATTTAATAGCATTTAGTATTACTATCCTAAATAAAAAAAAATGAAATAGAAGCTACCGGCTTCATAACTCAGAGTAGTTTTGCTCTCAGATTCTTGACTTAACCTGAGTCCATCTTGTTATTTTGTGACCCATTTGTTCCCATCCTCCCATCCCTGTCTACAGCCACTGATAGATGGGACCCATCCTCTTGTCTTGCTTATTACTACACTGAAGGAATTGCTCACCTTCCCATGAACCTCACTGGCTCTTCTACGGACCTAAGGGTATACTATAAAGAGGTGTGGTGTCTGTACACTGTATCACCATGAGGACAGGTCCCAGGAGTTACCACCTTCTCCTATCGTTTCTTCCCCTCCCTCATCCCTGGACTGTGTTCCAAGCCCCCAGTGGAGGCCTGACACCACCGATAGCTCCTTTCTCTCTAGGTGCTTAGCTTAATGGGGACCCATCAAGTTCACATTCTAAATCGGTCACAGTAAGAGAAATAGAATAAAATAGAACAATGATAACGCTATGATATGATAGAAGTATAAACTGTGTTGACCATGGGTAACTAAGTCTGGGAAAGAGAGCACACCTGAGGGATGGGGATGGCTGTAAGGAGGGCATCTGTGTACCTGCAACAGAGGAAAAGGCGAACAGGAGGCGTCTTCATTCTGAGATTTCTGTGCATCATGCTCATTGCTGATTGTCTGAGTTGTTTGGTTTGTGGTTGTTTTACGGTTTGTGTTCAGGACCTCAAGCTCTGAGTTGTTCCCTCATGGATGACACGCTACCATTTGAGCCATGCCTCTAGTCTGTTTTCTTTTTTACTGGTTAATTGGAGATGGAGTCTCTCAGACTTTTTGGCCCAAGCTGCCTTTGAATTTCTATCCTCCAGGTCTTACAGACAGGAGACTAGGAGCCTGACAATCTGTGTGTGTGTGTGTGTGTGTGTGTGTGTGTGTGTGTGTGTGTGTGTGTGTGTGTGTCTTTGATAAAAGATGCACACTAGCCAGGTGCTGGTGGCTCACGCCTGTAATCCTAGCTACTCAGGAGGCTGAGATCTGAGGATCGCGGTTCAAAGCCAGCCCGGGCAAGAGAGACTGTGAGATTCCTATCTCCAATAAACCACCAGAAAACTGGCAGTGGCGCTGTAGCTCAAGTGGTAGAGCGCTCGCCTTGAGCTGAAGAGCTGAGGGACAGGGCCCAAGCCCAGAGTTCAAGCCCCACGACTGACCAAAAAAAAAAAAAAAAAAAGATGCACACTAATTGTGCAATTTGTGAGGCAAAAGCTGATACACATGTTCTTCAAATATGGGAGCCAGTAATCATTTTCTATCATACGAAGTATACCCTCTCATATTTATAAATTTATATTCTGTGTTCCTAATAGGTTTTTAAGTGTTTGCACCAAAATTCACATGCCAGGGGGAACAGGGACAGGGCGGGAAGGAAGACACTGTCCATATACTACTAGGAATACTGGCCTACCTTTAGCACAGGGCTACAGAGAGCCTTAAAAAAAAAACAACTAGAGGCTTTATTTTATCCTTAAAATTTACAGTAAGTCTTGTCCTCTTGCTGTATATGAAAGTGAAGCGTGTCACCTGCCACTTCTTGCACCCTCTCTGGTGTGTCTGTGACAAATGGGAACTGCTGGCGGTCCTCCAGTGTGGGCCTGGCGGCCTTTGGTATTGACAGGTCGTATATTCTGGCAGGTGTCCCATGTTCAGCTCACTCGTAAATTCCTCTAAGCCTGTGGGGCAGGCAGGTGCCATCTCTTCTAGGCAGCTTTAATGATCTAAATTACTATTTTAATCTGTTAATTTCCTGCTATTTGGACCAGCCTCTCTCTCCCCTTCCTTTTCTGAAGTGAAGCTTTGGAGCAAGTCTGTGCAGTGTTTTTATTCTTTGAACCAACTACACAGAGTTAATCTGATCTCACCGTGAACCAAGCAAGTGACTGTGGTGTCCGGTGTTGGGATTTTATTGTGCTGCATGTCCTCATGCTTCCCCTCACGTTCCCTGAACCCTAGGATTAAGGGGTCCACTGGCTTGCCCAGCTCATTTTTCTAAATAAGAGACTGACATTTTTAATTTGTAGATTCCTTCCTGAAAGATAATTTCACAGTATGTTTTTCCACTTAGAAAAATATTGTATCTTTTCTGCATCATTAGGTACTGAAACTAGGGCCTGACATGTGCTAGGCAAAAGCATTCTACCACTCAGGTTTGTATAGCCACAGCCCTCAAATTACTTTTAATTGACTTGAAGTTTAGATCAGACTTTCCAGGTCTTTGTAACTTGCTCTTTCTTCTTCGTTGGCCTTCTTTCCATGTTAGGACATATTTTTGCTTTTGTTTTCTTACTTTTGAAGTATTTTTCAGTTGTCTTCATGCTTTTTGTTTAGTAAGAACTCCAGGTCTCTGCTTTGGCTCATAGGCACATGGTTGCTTTTGAACAGTCTCAGGTAGGAAATGCTTTTCATTTGGATTTGAAATCTCTTCTAACTCCTCTTTGCTTGATTTTTGAAGTATTCACCCAATATTGCTCTGGAAGCCTATGTCATCAAGGCAGCCGGATTCACGGGGATGACCTGCACCGTGTTCCAGAAAGTGGCCACCTCCGACCGCACAGGGCTGGCAGACTACGGGAGGCGGGACCCCGATGGAAACCTAGACAAGCAGCTGAGCTTTAAGTGCAACGTCTCCAACACGTTCCTGAGCCTGGCACTGAAGGTACACCACATTCTCTAGACGTGTAACGCTACCTGGAGTGATGCAAACACTCAGGTCTTTGGCTTGGCTAAAGCACTTAATTGAGGGGTGGGAGAGGTGAGATCGGTGGGGATATTTGCTGTTGATTTAAAGAAAATTTATACTTGGATGAGATATATAATAGCTCTGGGCATTTTTGTTCTTGGGTCCCCTTTTCCCACTTAAAATGACTTTTTATGCATGTAATGATAAAAAAACGGAAATATATTAGTATATATCGGGATATTTTCTTTCATGTAAATGTTGTGTTAAAAATAAAGAATCCTAGCTTTGAGACATTAAAACATTTTCATGGGTCTCGGAGCTATTACAGACCCTTGGCAACATGCCGGCTGTTGCACTGTTGTTAACGGAGAAATCAGGCCTAAGGCTGAGCATTGAATCAGGCAGGCAGTATATCAGGGCATTTGGCAAAGTGCAAGTATATGTCTCTCTCTCTCTCTCTTTTTCTCTCTCTCTCTCACTGTCTCACTCACACACACACACACATACACACACACACACCCATACACGTATAAAGAGAAGTCATTTGAATTTGATGGACTTATAAAGTTGGGGTATAATAATGTGTTTCATTAAACCACACAAAGTATTGGGAATGCAAACCCCAGTATGCTAATGGACACACAGCTTTTCATTAAGTTTGTGTGGCATTGGCTATCGTGTTCTCTGTATTGCAACCACACAGCTTTTTTTTGTATGTTTTTTATTGTAAAAATGCTGTACAGAGGGGGTTACAGTTCCATGAGCAAGGAAATGAGTACATTTCCTACCAAGAGTATTCCAGTTTTTTTAATGGCTGCATAGTAGTAATTGATCCAAGTGTCTATTAGGTGTTGATGCCCCATAGTATCAAATGAATAGATTATTGTATTTTGGTTTATTTTACCTTGGTGTTGCCTCATCAGGAGAGCTAATTTGCTAAATTTAGAAATATTTCATTTTCCTGAGATAATATGAACTATCATTACGGTGTCTTCTGAGGGTAACTGACCCAACGATTGGCAGCTTTGTCTGCTCATCATAGTCCTGTGAGCTGAATTGATTCACCCAGCCTCTCACTTGTAGTCCTGCTCACCACTCTCATTCTGTTCTGTGAAACTCGATAGTTCAAAGGCCATAGAGACAGCAACTTGCTGAAGCCCTAGAGAGAAATGGTTGTATTTTGAGGTACACCAAAAATTGATGAACCTTCTAGCTTAGATGACCGTGGCTGATAGAGACTGAAAATGATGAAGTCCAATCAGGGGTGGCTCACACCGGTCATACTAGCTGCTCAGGAGGCTGAGATCTGAGAATCATGGCTCCAAGCCAGCCCAGTCAGAAAAGTCCCCATGCGTCTTTTATTTCCATTTAACCACTCAAAAACCGGAAGTGGTATTATGTCTCAAAGTGATAGATCAGTAGCCTTGAGCACAAAGAGGCTAAGGGACAGCACCCAGGCCCTGAGTTCAAGCCACACAACTGATCTCCCGCCCCCCCCCAAAAAAGGTGATGAAACCCTATATTTTATGTATTCACACCCCTCTATGCAAGGAGCTTTTACTGGCTATTATCAAAAGCGTTAAATGGACATTGCCAGATTTGCCAATTTCACACTATTCTTTTAAGATCATTGCCTGGCCAGAGAGCAAGGTTTTGTTACATTGTCATTCAAGCCTCATGGGGGACACTATTAATGCAGTGGATGAAGATAGGCCATACCCTCCATGACATAAAATTAGCTGATGATTTTAATGTCAACAGTGCAACTTAAGATTTTTATCACTTTTAACAGAGATCTGTCTTCAAATTTTAAACTTTATGTTAGGGCAGGTTTTATTCCTTCTGTGCTACTTTATTAATCCTTTGAATATGCCATTTCAACAATACCCAAGAATTGATTGCACTAGTTTTAAATAGGGATATGTGCTAACATATGAAATCAGATCCATAAAAATGATTTCTTTAGCCAGGTGCCAGTAGCTCATGCCTATAATCCTTGCTCTTCAGAAGGCTGAGATATGATGCACATGGTTTGAAGCCATCCCTGAGCATGAAAGTTGGTGAGATTCTTATCTCCAGTTAGCCACCAGAAAGGCCAGAAGTGGCCAGACTTGAGTGAAATATCTTAGGCAGAATACCCAGGCTTCCTGGGTATGTTTGGAATCTGTGTCTATCAGCATGCTATACAATCTGGCTGAAATTCCTACTCTGTATAGATGCTGCATGACTAACAGTGGGAGACATCACCCCCCTCCAAAAAAAAACTCCCTGTACATTGGAAATATCCTCAGTTAAAAGTTCTGAATATGTATGAACTACTGAGCATAATAACCAAATAGCATATACGGACCTCTACTGCTGGTTGTTGACACACCTCAACTTAGCTGACCAGGTGCCAGGCTGGTTGATCTCTACACACAAATAACTAGAACGTACCAAGGATGGATGGATGGATGGATGGCTGGATGGATGGAAAGCTAGGCAGGCATGGATAAATTCAGTGTTTTAAATCCAGTGATTTTCGTTAAAACAGGGATACAGGAGGACCCATTGCAACAATGAGATGTACAAGTCATTATGTGGAAAAACGAACTTTACAACTTTGATGGGGGAGGAGGATGCAAAGGGATAGGAAGGGGAAAATAGAGGAGGTTACAATGCTTGATAAGAAATGTACTCATTATCTTGCCCATGTAATAGTAACTCCTCTGTATAGTATTTTCACACTAAAAAAAATACGTTTATAAAAAAATCCAGTGAATTTGACTTATTCTGATTTTTTTCTTTTTTTTAATTTAAATTTTAATGTAAAGGTGATGTACAGAGGGGTTACAGACTCATTCTAATTATAGTGCCAGAATTCTACAGACATGAACAATGTGAGAGTTGTGCAAATTTTAATGTGTTAGTGACAGATTGGAGGAAGTCCACCTCCATCAGGCAAATTGGTATAAATAGAGATAAAGCAGTTCTGTTTGAAGTAATACCCATTATGCCAGTTTATTTTTTAGCTTCATGTCATTGTAAACAGCAAACTGTACATGAATTTAACAAATTTATAGAGCTGCCTGGTAAGATTCCTTTCATATGTGTTCATACTTGAGCAATTTCAGGATTAAAACTAATACCAAAAAGGAAGCAGAGAAGTCAGGGCGTGATGAAGTTTCAGCTCTTGTTGGAAAGTCAGTAGCTTCAGGGATTTCCTTTTTTCCCATCACCCACATAACCATCCTCTATCGCCCACAAAATCACTACCCCAATTCTGTAGCCTTTTGTGCTTTCATAGCCATGGGGCATCTGATCCTCACCACCATTTGTTCCACAGGTTATCAGTGAGATGCAGATTCAACAGGATGGACAGTATCCATCAGCTACTAAATGATAAGACCAGGCCCTGAACTCTGCTTATCTCACACCTCCTGTTCTTTTTCTTATGGTGCACAGTCCTCCTATTGTAAATATTCCTAAAGAATCTGTTTTGATTATAGCAGGTTTTGATCTCAGGGCTTTATACTTTGTACTTTATACTTTGCTAGGCAGGTACTCTGCCATTTTGAGCTTTCAGAGAATCTTGCAAGAAGACTCTCTAGTTTTGTCGCTTCAGTTTGTATCTGTATCTATGTTATGGATGTAATACATATGTTTTAAAATAAATACATAGTTAAATGTGGTTATTATATCATCGTATAGATGATGGTAACTTTGCATGCATTGGACATCCTCTTTCCATCCAGAGGATCTGTCATTGCTGTTTAGTAATAGTCTTTATTCATTTAAAAGATAAAGGAGGGGGTAACAATGCTTGATAGGAAATGTACTCATTACCTTACTCATGTAACTGTAACCCCTCTGTACAGTATCTTTACAATAAAAATATATTTTAAAAAGATATATTAGAAGCCATAAGGTAGTTGTACAAACGAGTTGCCATTTAACAAAGCAGCTTACAAATACAGTGCATCTTGATCAACATCCTCATCCATCCCTCTTCTATCCTCCCGTTCCTTTATTCCTCTTAATTTTGTAGGCTATATATTGGATTCTTGTCTGCATTTTTGCCCTCTTCTCTTCATTTGTCGACCCTTTTCCCTTGACCTCACCATACCTCTTTTTTTTTTGGGGGTGATGGGAGGAGGCCTGAACTCTGGCCCTGGGTGCTTTTATCCCTCAGCTCTTCAGCTCAAGGCTAGCTAGCGCTCTACCACTTAAGCCACAGTGCCACTTCCAGCTTTTTCTGCCTTATGGTCCTGAGGAATAGAACCCAGGGCCTCATGCATGCAAGGCAAGCACTCTACCATTGAGCTACATTCCCAGCCCTCACCACACCTCTTTTGAGTACCCCCATCCTGGTATTTTGTTTTACAGATCTTTGCTTTTGACTTTGTAAGAAATTATACTGTTTGTGATCTCCCTGGAATCTACCATATTTCAGTTAATAAATTGTTTATACTTGTGTACCATCCATTGTATTTTACATGAGTTTGTAAGTGAAGTCTAGCTTCTACATGTAAGAGAAAACATGGATCCTTTGTTTCTCTGATCCTGACTTACCTTAACATAATTTTTTCCCAAGTCTTAACATTTCTTGACAATGGTACAATATCATTGTTTCTAGTGGATGAGTAAAATTCCATTGTGTAAATATATTACACTTTCTTGATCCATTTGTCCAATGAGGCACATCTGAGCTAATTTCATACCTTGACTATAGTGAATAGTACTGCAGTAAACATGGTTGTACTGGTGGCTTTACTGTATCCTGGCTTGTAATATTTTGGATAAATTCCCTGGAGTGGAATTGTTGGATCATAGGGTAGCTTTGTGTAAGTAGGCATGCATCTTTCACTTCTCCACGTTCTAGGGTATTTGTTTATTACTGTCTTGGAATTTAAAGTGTAAACTCAGGCTTTTTATGGACTTAAATATTATTTTATTTAGCTCTCTTTCTGTCTCTCCCTGCTTTTTTTTGGTCTAGTCCCTGGACTTGAACTTGGGGCCAAGGCACTGTTCCTGAGCTTTATGTGTTCAAGGCTAGCACTGTACACTTGAGCCATATACTTAGCTCTCTCTTCAAAAAACATACAATGTGGTAACACTGATCAAGATGCATTGTGCTCATAAACTGACATGTTGAGATGAAACTCCACCATAGAAGTACTTAAAGCTAGTTTAAAATTAATGAAAAATAGAATAAATAAAAAATTAATATATTTTTAAGAGTAGACTCTACTTCATGTTGTTCAACATCTAAAACTGTGAGGTAATTAAACCACTTTCCTTTCTCTCTTTAAAAACAAAGAAAAAGTTTAGTGTGACTTAAAAAAAATCAATTTAACATGACTAATACTTGCCAAAGGACTAGGAGTTGTTTTCATGAAACTTTGGGGAAAATTACTTGATGAATTTTTTGTCATAATTAATTTAAGTCTCACTGCATTAGGATTTTGAATGTTGGTAGAATTTCCTCTTCTTCATGTGCCTCATTATGTACTTAAGAGAAATTTTATCCTTCATAGAAATTTATTAGGTTAGCGAATGGATTTGTAATAAAGTTTATTTGTGAGAGTAGCAGATAACTTTTAATGCTTTTTCTTAGGCAAAATAATGTCTGCCAAATACTTTCACAGCATTCTTAACATAAAAGTTACACTTCAAGTTCCCAAAAGCATTCATTCAGCAGATATTTATAGATATCTTATAAATTTGATTGTAAGCATAGCAGTTAAGTAATTCTAAAGTCATTCATTAGCTTTAATAGAACGCTTTTTAAAGTAAATATGCCATGCTGACTTGGTTAATTTTGTCAACCAAACTATTTTTAGCAAATACAATGCCAGCAAGCAGTAATTTAGGGGGTCTAAAAGAAGGAGATGGTCTGCAGCCCAAAGTCCTCTTAGACCAGGGAGAGGGAGTAGAACATGCAGAGAGAGGGGATAGAGTGTCACAGATGGGTACTGAGTGTTCTGTGAGTCCAGGAAAGGGGTGAGGCAAGACCCCTGAGTTTATTGCCTGCAAAAGCCAAGACTTTGTAAAGCCCCTCCTGGGGTCCCTCTTTTGTCACTCAGTTCTGCTTTTGCTCTTTCCAGCTGCAGGACCTGTTTTAGACTTACAGCAGAGTAATGAGTAGTAGTGCAGTATAGTCAGGGACCCTGGTCGGTGCCGTGAGGAGGAGAGAGGACCCCAGCATTGGGAAGCTCGCACGGCCTTTGTGAGCTATACACACATTGTTGATTTCTATATTTGTCCTTACTATACTTTGTCATTGTAAAATGGACAGGCCCTTGGTTTATTTAACGATGTCTACTTCAGCAGTGTTCCCTTGTCATGTGGAAATTAACTGTACTGTGAAAGAATCATCTTGCTTACTTCTCAATTTGCTAGAAATAGAGTTTGCACTTCTTTTTTGTTGTTGCTGTTATTGTTTGGGGTTTTTTGTTTTGTTTGTTTTTGGTGCTGGTTCTAGGGCTTGGATTCAGGGCCTAAGTGCTATCCCTGAGCTTCTATGCTCACAACTAGTGCCACAGCTCCACTTCTGGCTTTTTGGTGTTTCTTTGGAAATAAGATTCTTGTGGACTTTCCTGCCTAGGCTGACTTCAAACCAAGATCCTCAGAGCTCAGCCTCCTGAATAGCTAAGATTACGGGCTTGAACCCACCAGTGCCTAGTACCTTTCCTTTTCTTTATTCTTTATCTATGTTGTCCTTGCATTGCTTAAATCTTTCATGTGACTTAATCAGTTGTTTGTATATATGTTTTTACATACATTTTTGGAAAATGTTTTCAATACAATCCAACACATTATTGACAAATAATAATAACAAATGATATAATTAGAAGGATTTCACAACTGTGATGTTGTTCTCTTTTCTACGTATTGATATGATAACGTTTTTGGTTTTTTTTTAGTGATAACCTTTGATGATTTAAAATAGTTGTTCTTGTGTATGTGTGTTTATTTTCAGAATACAGTCATGGAGGCCTCTATTCAGCTGCCTCCTTCCCTCTTCTCACCAAAGCATAAGAGAGAAGTCAAACCAACAGATGACTCCCTCTTTAAGCTTCAGCTCATCGCGTTTCGCAATGGCAAGCTTTTTCCCGCCACTGGAAATTCCACAAACTTGGCAGATGACGGGAAGCGGCGCACAGTGGTCACCCCTGTGATTCTCACCAAAATAGGTTTGTATGAGGCCTCTTACCCAGCAAACTCTGGGCAGCCCATTATTCCTCCAACACTTGTATTTCTTCATTCTTGTTTTAATGAGCCACAGTAACTAAAGATCTTGCTGAGTACCCACTAGTGTCTACATTGACATTTATTGTTATTGTTTATGAACTGTGTTTCAGAAATACCGCTATTTCCCATTTCCTCCAGATGGTGTGAGCATAGATACCCACCACATCCCAGTTAATGTGACTCTGCGTCGAATCGCGCACGGAGCAGATGCCGTAGCAGCCCAGTGGGACTTTGACTTGCTGAATGGACAGGGCGGCTGGAAGTCAGATGGGTGCCGTATCCTCTATTCTGATGAAAACATCACCACGATTCAGTGCTACTCCCTCAGTAACTACGCAGTCTTAATGGTACGGAGTTGTTGCCCATGTGCATGAGCACTCAGGATTGTGGTAATATATATATTTTTTTATCCCTGTGCATAATTAAGCTTCAGATGAAGAATTTAAAATTTTACTCCACATTAATTGTTCCCTATAATTATGTAAAGGATAATCTTTGGTGTATTTCTGGACTTAAAGAGAAACCAAATTACTGCCAAGTGCAATCAATATATGGGATTGTAGCATTAGCATAGGAATTTTGTCAATCAGTTCAGCTTGACTCTGACCTCCTTAAAATAGGACATGGTCTTGAGTTTATGTAAGTCCAGCTCTGTGTTCACAGAATGAGTTAGAAATGTATGGAGTAGACACACCTTTGCAATAGTGTATATAGTGTATTTCCATATTTTCATGCAGTGTACTGGAATAGCTGTACCTCTTATCTGTGAGATATTGTTAGCAGAAGATTTTCCAGTTTGCTCTCTGGAATCTTTCCCTACCTACAACATGTCATCCTAATTGATTCCTTTTGAATTTAGAACGAATGGTGATAACTTTGGGTTTTATGACTGTAAGTAACAATAATGACATAAAGTATACCTTTCAGTTTTAATGTCCATCGGTCTGGTAGTGCTTTCTCTTATTTATTTATTGAAGATACCTACTTATTGTTTTGGCAAATAAGTTGCTAACAGTATAAAAGAAGAGGTCTGTTAAATAATGTTAAGATGATTATTTGATTTCTAAGCAGTTACTGACAAACTTAACTAAACTGCTTGGGTCCTTTTTTGGAGGGGAATCAGTTATTGGGGTCTGAATTCAGGGCCTTAAGATGCTTGGCAATTGCTCTACTACTTGCACCATGCCGTCATCCATGTTTACTTTATTTTTCAAGTAGATTCTTGAGCTTTTGTCCAGAACCAACCTCAGATGTGATCCTTCCACCTAGAGCCATCTTGCATAGTTAGGATTAGAGGTATACATCACAATACCTGGCTTACTGATTGAGGCAGGATCTTCCTAACTTTTTTTGCCTGAGATTGTAATCTCACATCACAATTCTCCCAATCTTTGCCTTTCAAATAGCTGGGATTATAGGCTAGGATTACAGAAACACAAAAAGGATTTAAAGCAACAAAAAAGGATAAATGATGCCTCCAAGATAGCAACTCCATATGAATAAACTCTAATGGTAGTGAAACTGATAAAATCTCAAAAGAATTTTCTTAAAAATTATTGTAAGAATGATCATGGACAAGGCATTAGTGGCTCATGCCTATAATCTAGCTACTCAGGAGGCTGAGGTCTGAGGATCACGGTTTGAAGCCGGCCCAGGTAGGAAAGTCCATGAGACTCTTATCTCCAATTAACCACCAGAAAACCAGAAGTAGTGCTTGGCTCAAAGTGGCAGAGCTGTAGCCTTGAGTGAGTGAAACAGCTCAAGGACAGCATCTAGGCCCTGAGTTCAAGCCCCATATCTGACCTCCCCAAAAAAGAATAAAGAGTGATAAAGAACAATCGCTGAATTGGCCACTATGGCTCATATTGGTAATTCTCCTACTCAGTTTAAAAATAGCCAGGACAGAAAAATCCACAAAATTCAAAGATTTGGATTTTTTTTAGTGATGTTTCAGAGGTTTTATTTGTTCTTAGCATTTCTTCTCTTTTCTCCTTGCCATCAGATGTTGTAATTTATCTGCCTGGTGTTTAATCCCTGATAACTGTCTTCTTTTTTACCCAGCCCATTGGTGAGGCATTCAGCTGAGTATTTTTATTTGATGTATTTATTTAGCTTTCCATTTCCAGGATTTCAGTTTGATCTTCAGGATTCTATATCTTTATTCATTTTTTTTTCCTGTCCAGAATTGTTTTTCTTATTTGTGTACTCACACTATCACTAGTTTTTTTCACTCACCACTGTACTGTTTAAACCATGCCTCTAGTCCACCTTTTCTGTCTGTTAATTGGAAATACAGTCTTGAGGATTTTTCTGTCCTGGGGTTTGTTTCAAACTGAGTGGTAAGATGATTGATATGAGTCACTGGTGTCTGAATTGATGAATATTCTTACAATAATTTTTAAAAATTCTTTTGAGATTTCATCCACTTCACTATAATCAGAGTTTATTTGTGTGGGGTTGCTGTCTTAGAAGCATTATCTTGCCTTGTTGTTGTTGTTGTTTTTAATCTTTCTTGTGCTTCTGCATTGGGATTGCCATACCAAGGCCAAGTTACTCATCTTGAAGATTTTCATCTCCTGCAGTCTTTGAGCTGAAGTACTCTCCATGTTCAGGCAAGACGGGACATAGCAGGGCTGATGTGCAGCTTCTCTGTGCTGGTCTTAGATTACAGCTCAGTAGCCAGGCATTGGTACCTGGGCTCAGGCACCAGGCCTAATCACAGTACTATTTAGAGACAATCCGGCGGAAGTCTCTTGTAGTTAATACTGTTCATATTAATACTATATGATGTGACCATGACAGAAAGATCAGGTTTCCACTCCTGTGCTGCGTTTACATTATAAACTCCCTTCTTGGTGTACTCGGAGCCATTGGTATCCACAAAGAATTTTGCAGCTTATGTGTTGAGCAGTTTCCCAACCCATTGTCTTTAAAGGACAGCAAGCATCCAGACATGGGTCGATGCCTACCCCAAGGGTTTGAGGGTGTAGGGAAGAAACAAAGTAATAGCTTGTGGATTGGAGATGGAGTTTTTAGGGAATCAGACCTTCTGCTTGCTGGTCTGCTGAATAGATAGGAATACAGATTATTCATTTGGTGACCTCACATTTTATACAGCAGCAAACAACTTATGTATCCTATTTGACCCAGTTGATGATAGGTGAATTCTTCTAGAAGTTAGACCCTTACCCTTTAATTGTTGATAGTTATGAGTCTCTTCATGTCTGGCTTTTTTTGGGGGGGGGGGTTCATGGGGCTTGAACTCTAGGCCTGGGCTCTGTCCCTGAGCTTTTCAGCTCAAGGCTAACGCTCTACCACTTGAGCCATAGCACCACTCTGGTTTTCTGGTGGTTAATTGGAGATCAGAGTCTCACGGAGTTTCCTGCCTGGTCTGGTTTTGAAGCATGATCCTCAGATCTCAGCCTCCTGAGAGGCTACAGGCGTGAGCCACAGGCGCCTGGCCATGTCTGGCTTTTTTAAGTACATATTTTATTATTTAGTTGCCTTTATATTAAAGCATGAAACATTAAAGTTTGAAGCATTTTCTTTCTCAGTTTATATGTGTTTTCTCATTGAATTTTTGAATAAAGAATAATCTGAAACTGGTATGTTGAAATAGACCGTGGAGTAGCAATGCTGTCTAAGATGCCTATAAAAGTTAACCAGGAGAAAGTTGAGCAAAGTAAATGAAACACAAAAATGGCATTTTTATAAGCTTCTCTGTGATACTGTACTATACTAAACTTATATTCTTACTTAATCTAATGCCAGTTTAAACATTGTTTTTGAACTTCCTAGCTGTTCTTCTAAACTATTAAAATTAGTATAATCCTTTTCTAGAAGGAATAAGCCATTCTTTTATCTTTCAGATGTTTTAATCTTTTAAAAAATGAAATACAGTTTTCTGAAGGTAAAATACAGTGGTATTTTTTTCCTATTTATTTTCAAAGAACATCTTGTTTTCCCTGATGTAACTGTGCCACCTAGAGGCAGAAGAATGAACTATCTCAGAAATTGTTGAGTAAGAATAAAGTTGGTATAAGGGATTTTGGAGTTACTTTAAAAAAAAAAAAGGCAAAGTGAATGAAATTACTCACACTTATGTTTAAAGGGATAGCTCAATTGTATGCTTCCCTGGCATGTCTGAGACCCTGGGTTGTACACTCAGCACTACAAAAATAAAATTAAGGCCACTTTTCAATAAAGCAATGTCTAGAGTAGAAGTGTCTTTACAAAATTGAAACTCTGCATCTTCCTCTGAACTCCTTATCATAAAAATAAAATATTATTTCTTTTCTTGAGTACCATCTTAATACATTGTTTTACGTAGAAGTCTAAATGTCTTTCTTGGGAAATATTCTGTATATGTTTTCTTGATGTGGTTTTAGATTGATTGCTATGAAGATAAACAGTTATGTGTTTCATTCTCTTTTCTCATTCCCTTTACCAAGACATAAGAAACTAACACACACTTGTTTATTCTCCTTTGTCTAGTGATGATTTTATGTTTGCTCAAGGTTAGTGTGCTAAGTGAAGGCAAACTTCATTTATGCTATGACTTCATGCCAGCAGTGTTTAACTTTTAAATAGCATATTCTCTCCGATCAAATGTTTTAAATTATTTCTGCACATTCATGTACAATGATAATTTGAACTCTCACCCTCTATCATCACAGTTTGTGTGAATTGAAACAAAATGAATATATATCCTATTTTTCCCCATTATACCAAATTTTGCATGTTTTTTCCCATGGGTCAAATATTTTATTTTTATATTTTACATAGAATTTTAACTAGGTGATGATGATTATATGTGTAAATATGTATATATACATGCATATATTATTTTTATAATTTTTGACTGGTACTGTTGTTTGAACACATTACATTATATTTGCCCCACTGCATGAGCCACATCCTCCACCCTTTATGTTTTTGTGTCAATTATTTTTCAGATAAGATCTTGTTCTTTTTGTCCTGGGCTGGTCTGGATAATGATCCTCATACCTGAATCTCTTTAAGTAGCTGGGATTGTAGGCATGCAGTACCATCTAGCCCTGATAATATATATGGAAGAGGCTGATGACAGTGGAGGTGGTAGTTAATTGTAACCAACCCTATGTGTCAGGTACTCATGGTACCTATATATATATACAGTGACTGACTGATTTGGACCTCAAAACAAGCTTAGGAGGTATATTTAGTACCACATCATCACCCTCAGGCGTAGGTATAGAATGGAGGTGTGGAGTGGTTAAGTGATATTCCTGAGAAGCTAGTTGGGTTTCACTGGGATTTGAATTTGGACAAGCTAGTTCCAAATCCTGTGTTCTTGACTACTCTGCTCAGTTTCCTTTCTCAAATCTCCTAGCAATATAAATACAAAAGAGCTTCCTTTTCCTTTTAGTTTCTTTGCCTTTCAGTGTTACTTTATGTTTCTACCATAGTTCTATATTTCTCTGTTCTGTTTGTTCTCAGTAGTAGGATAAATTTTCCTGATGTGATACACACATTTAGCCAACACCAACCTCAAGATTTATCCCCACACTTAGTAGTACTTATGTTTCTTTCTAGTCATTTCCCATCCACTGTCTCAAGAAGTGCCCGCCCTTCTATTTTGTGAGGATAGAGAAAAACTTTTCTTGTTCTTCACTTGATACAAGTGAAATGTACAGTACTCTCCATGCCTAGTTTCTTTCTGGTTACAGCTGTGGGAGTTATCTTTTGTCTTTGCATGTAGCAACAGTATGCCTTTTCATTGTTGTGAAGCATGCCAGTGGATAAAAACACCTGAATCTGTTTGTTGTGTTGTTAGTGGACTTTTAGTTATCCAGGAAAATGTTACACGTGTTCACATGCATGTTTTTGATGAGCATGCATGGTTAGGAGTAAAGTTGCTGGATTGTAGACCAGTATGTGTTCAGCTTCAAGAACTAGTGTCACAGAGCTGACCAAGTGCTCATCACTGGTATGCACTCTCACCCATAATGACCATGCCAGTTGCTCCAGGTTCTGGCCAATCCTCAGTCTTTGTGATGAGTATTTGTGTGGTGGAATTCGGACATGTGGCCATGGTTCTAGTGTGCATTCAGTGGCAACTGAAGGTGTTAGCATCTGTGTATTTCTTACTGTGAAGCTCACAGTGAATCTTGCCTATTTTTGGGTTTGTTGTGTAGAGATTCTTGATAAAAAGTTCTGAACATGAGCTGCTTGCTGAATCCGTGCACTGCGGTTGTCTTCGCAGTCTATGGCTTGCCTCTTTCTCTCTTGAGCCTATTTATGAACAGAGTGGCTTAGTGTTTCTGAGGTCTAATTTCTTAGACTTAGGTTTTGTGTTTTTTATAGGTAGAGTTCACATTCTATTGAAGGAATCTTAGCTTGTTTCTGATAAGCTCATGAGAATCTCCTTCCTTCCTTGCCTCAAGGCTTTGTAGTGTCTTTTGCCTCTTACATTTAGGTCTATAATTCAGCAAACACTGACTTTGTGTTTAGTATGAAAAGTAAGAGCTTCAAAAAAATCTTTAAATGATTCTTGGAACCTGACCTGTTCTCTAAAACACTTCTGATTTCAGATCAGTTTCGCATTTAATTTTATTGGTATTCTTGGATTGCATCCCTTATTCTGATTCCAATGAATTGAGATAATTGTTGATCTTAGATATTCTTGTTATTGGTATAGTGATAGTGAGTAATTTCAAACTTCCCTGGGCTTTATGTTTACAGTCCTTGGGCTAGAAGTCCCTCTCCTTGCTCTGTCAAAAATAGGCTTCCAAACCTCTCCTCTCCTTTATTTGGATCTTTAATATGACTGATCACCCTGTGACATTTCCCACATTTGGGAGTTTTCATTTTTTTTTGACATCGGTACAGTTTGCCCCTGTGGAGAACAGAGCTTTTCACTTCCTGCTTTATTTATTTTCGTTAATTCTGGGCCATCTAGACACATGACCAAAATCAGCATTAGGCTGTGGTGGAGAGCGAGTCCGGGGTAGGGAGTTCTCCTGTTTTCCTGATGGCCACGCTGCTAATATAAACAAAAGGGCTACCCTTTCCATTTACAGTGTCTCTTTTGGCACAGCTTTTGTGCAACATGTTTAGCAGTTTTTAAAATCAAGGCAGAGCCTATGTTTGCTTGCCATTGAAATTGAGAATAATATGATTTAGATATCTGCTTTATCTTTTGTTGTAGATCTTGAACATGTCTGCTATGTTAATATCTTAATCTTCTCAATTGCCTGAAATACTCATCTATTTTTTTAATGTTGCTCAATCTACTCAGTTGCTGGGTTTTTCCTTCCTTTCTTTTTTTAAATGAAAAGTTAAAATTGATTTATAATTTTCCATGGTTATGATTTGAGTGATTAGTATGTACCTGCAAAATGAAATTTGTCTCTTGATCAGCAAATGCTGAAGCATTTTCTATTTGGCTCTCTGCATGGTATGCTAGGCATGTGCTCAGCAGGTGTTCGAGGTATGTCTTCAGCAGGTGTTCTAGATGTGTCTTCAGTGGGTGTTCTAGGTGTGTCTTCAGCAGGTGTTCTAGGTGTGTCTTCAGCAGGTATTCTAGGTGTGTCTTGGAAGGAGTGGTGCCCCCTGTAACTGTGGCCCCATAGCCTCTTTCTCATTCTGTATCACATGGGCTTGACTTTTGAAAAAGTCTGGGGGAGGGGCATTCAAACTTGAACCTTATCAAAGTAGAACTGTGATGTTTTATTAGTTAATATTCTGCTTAGGCAGGTTTTGTTACACTCTGCCCAGGAGGGTACATTTCCATATTCTTTCTGCTCTCTCTGAGCCCTATGAGATGACTTGACTTGAGAGGCACTGGCCCGCAGTCCCTTAGTCTTCTCCAGACTCTTGAGACAGGCAGTGCACGAAAATAGTCTGAAGGTGAAGTCCCAGATATTGAAAGCTCATCCTCACGTATGAATTCAATACTGCCGCAGCAGCTTTTTATAGAAATCCAGGAGAAACGTGTCTGCACTCATTTTCATTTCCCCAACATTGTAAAAACTACTACTACTACTACTACTAATAATAATAGTTGTAGCAGAACATAGTGTCATGATGCACAGGCCATAGACAGTTGTTTGTGATAGCTTTCCTCTAGCCTTCCCTTTGGTCACTGGGTTGATACAGCAGATTCCTCTTTGAGCTGCATGTGTGTCCTGCTGGTTCCTGGTATAACTATGTCCAGTACCCTTTCCTGCCTGCTGGGCACCAAGCTCATGTTTGTCCGGTAAACAGAAGAGTTTACAAATTGGAGTTTATGTGGAGCTATCAAGTTGAAACTCAGTTTGCTGTGTTCTATCTCTCCCGCTTCCCATCATATTTTCAGGCTTTTGTCATTAGTTGTTCATCTTCTGTTGAAGTGAATGGTTTGTGCATTGTCCTCATGCAGTCTTTTTCTGTTTACGCTTTTATATTACTACTGTCTGATTCTTCCCTGGGAAAATTTGCCCATTCCCTCCGTATACTAAGCCACTTTCCGTCTCCTTCATTTTGCCACTTCTTCCTTGCCTTTTGTTCTAGCTTCTCTTGTTTCAGATATTTGTTGAAGAGCCCTTGCTCACAGGCAGTAGGGGGCCAGAGAAAAGCCAGAGAAGGGATCAGGTGAGTCTGCAGCTTTGACACCTGCATCCTGGGGTGTTCCAGGCTCCGCAAGGAAGGGAAGAGTTACAAGTTAAGGTTTCAGCCTGTTGTTTTCCTGTCAGCCAGGCAGTGTCTGTAGTGTGTTTAGAAATACAGACTCGGCAGCCATGCACGGCACTTTCTCACTCAGTTTTTCAAGCTATAAAATGGGGATGATAATGTACCTGCCTGTGTAAAATGTTGGGTACAGCCATTGCCCAGAAGATGAAATGTTACACGAGTGACATGCTTGTTGAATTTTGAACTCATGCAGGGGCTCTTCTTCTCCCATAACTGTGCCATTCATTTTGTCAGCAAAATATTGCTGACAATCTTATTATCTTTGTCTCTCCTGTGGCTCAGTGTTGTGCCAGGACAAGACATATCTTAGCATTATGTTTCCAAGGGCCTCCCATGGTGTTTGTTCCATTTGTATTAGTGGAACTTTGCAGACCCTGCTCTCTCCTATGTTTTCTTAGCTGGTGACTGTACAGTGCAAGTGTGGAAGGTCATCACCAAGGAGGGCAGAGCCTGTGGCTGTCCTTTGGAATCAACTGGCCTGTGCATGGTGCGCCTGTCTCCCTTACCCCCATCACAGAACAGCATTAGATGTCCAGAGTTCAAAGTTGGGTTGTACAAACAGCATGGCATGCACAGTTAATGCAGTAGAGAGAGTCATACATAATGTGGAGACAGCAAGAAGTTAGTCATTGGGTAAGGCAGGGAGATGGAGGACCTGAGTTCTGGATTAACGAGTATGATTCAGTTACTTCAAATCCCTGTGGTTAAGTGTCTATGGAAGGTGCTGAGAATGAGTCTCTTTTCCCTCAGGATTTGACAGGATCTGAACTGTATACCCCAGCAGCCAGTCTCCTGCACCCTGTGGTTTACACGACTGCAGTCATTCTCCTCTTGTGCCTCTTGGCTGTCATTGTGAGCTACATATACCATCACAGGTAAGCTGGGACAAGCAACAGATACAGCTCTGTGGACTGTGCCTTATAAGACTCCTTTCACATTTCATTCTGATGTGCCCTGGTAACCTTCCCAGGGTAGGAGGAACACTGTAGAAAATACACAAGGCCTCTTTCTTTCATGCCAGCAGAATTAGTAGTAGTCAGTACAGGAGAATGGAAGCTTACTTTTATAGGATCCAGACAGATTGCTGGGCTTGCATCTGGAAAAAGAACACAGGCAAATGGGCACAGGAACGAGAAGCCATGGAATAAGGAGAGATGATGCCCCTAAGGAGGGTCTAGAGGCTGGTTTAGTCCTTGTGTTCTGTGGCTGTGTGCCTGTTGTAATACTCTTTATAGCTGGCATTGTAAAAGAGTTTTTGACATTTAAGCATGGGATAGATGTTTTATTTTTTTTTAATTGCAAAGCTATAGAAATCTTCATGGTTGGAAATAATGAAGGATTTGCTAAGCACAAGTACACTTTGCAAAAGGTTTTGCTAGAACCTGTTTTCCTCTTTAAGCTAGACAGATGTGGCATTTCTTGACATTTGTTAAGAAACAAAAGGCAATTTTGACTTAAAAAAAAAGAAAGTCTTGAACATTTCATTGGGAAAGGCCAGTCAGAAATGTCCTGGCATGCAGGCCATGTTATCCTGGTTGGTCAGGAACAGCACCATGGCAGCCTAGGTAGCCGGCAGGAGAGCCAGTCCTGAGACATTGTAAGTGACGTGAGTTCAAGTGCTTCTTACTGTGGAGAATTTGTTTAGCATTGGCTCTAACGGTTCCATACGTGGTTGTTTTTAATGCCTAAAATTAACTGTTAAGAAACTGTATTAAGTTAAATGATTCTCAAATTATGGTGTGTGTGTGTATATGTGTGTGTGATAGTGTTTGATTAATCAACTATTTAAGTATAAGACATTTAAATTTGACCTTTCATGCAACGGGAATTAACTTGTAAATGAACGTCATAGTGTTCTATTTCAAATATACCAGACTGATGTTTATCCTTCACATTTTTCCTTTCTTACCCCAGTGTGATCAGGATCAGCCTCAAGAGCTGGCATATGCTTGTGAACCTGTGCCTCCATGTTTTTCTGACCTGTGTGGTCTTCGTAGGAGGGATAACCCAAACCAGAAATGCCAGCGTCTGCCAAGCAGTAAGTCCCAGAGAAAAATGTAAAAGGAGAAGTGCTAATACTTAAAAATGACTTCCTTTTTCTCTTTTCCTAGTTAGGGCTGACCCTGAGTTCTTCCCCCTCTTCCCCAACAATTACCAGCATACTTCACGCCTTGAATTTTACCATTTCACCACAGAACACCTCCCTGGGCATCTGCTCTCTTGGTCCTTGGCAACAATACTTACCATGTCTGTTACAGAGACTTAAAATACTTTAAAACTCATAACTTGTATGGAAAGAAAAGTGTCATTTTCTCACAGGACTTTGAAAATTACTTCACCTGTTGATGAAAAGTGTAGAAGTTAGGTTAAGAAAATAAACATTTTAATTGTAATTATTTAAACATCTAAAATTAAATTGTAAATACAATTAAATATTTCACTCGCTTTCAAGTGCTATTACATTTGGAAGCTTATTTATGACACGTATAACCTATTTCTTGTATAAGTGTAAAGAGTGGAAACTCCTCCTTTTAAGATTAGATGAGGGCATTTGTGACAGTTCATGCCCATCTCCTATTGTCTGTGTTGGTTCGCATAAGGCTAACAACAAGAAGCAGAGCATAATAACTTAAGTTTGGACCACCTTAGTTGCACTGTTTTACTGGCTACACTTTCATGGACCATGTTTAAATGGACCAATGTTCAAATTTGAACATGGACCATATTCAAATTAGGGACAAAGAAACCTTAGTCTGCCTTAAGCAGAATTTCCAGGTACAGTTCAATAATGTTAAGCATAAGCCCAACTTCATACAGCTTCTCTGTGAAACCGTCTGTTTTGTGTTTGTACCCATTGAACAGCAGTTGCCTTTTTCTTCTCCCTTCAGTTCTGGTAGCTTATCGTAATTCTAACCTTTGCCTCTACCCTCTGAGTGGAAATGTACATTTATCTTCCTGTTTGATTTGTATTCCTGTAAGTGCAGGTGCGCATGTATGTGTACCACACACACACACACACACAATTATTTTGAATGGGAAAGGCTAGCATAGAAGAAGTGGCATTTCCTTTTTTCTATTTTTCAACCTCCAGAGAAACTGGAGCCTTGCGCTTGCCGTGCCCCCTGTTTGTTTCCATTATTTTTCAAGTAAAGCTTTGTGTTTATGTCCAGTTTAGCCTGGACCTCAGTACTCCTGCTCAACACCTACCACATAGCTAGGGCAACATCCCTGTGATATCATGCCCAGCTTTATTAGTTGAGTTGTGTCTCCCTGGGATGACTTGAAATTGAGGTCCTAATCTTCATCACTACAGTAGTTGGTGGTTGCGATTACTGTACCTGGCCAGATAGACATTTTTGAGTATAGAGGACACATAGGGCCAGCATACAAGTGCAGTGATTGTAGCACCATGTGTGCTATGAAGATGTATATAAAGACTTCATTGCCATTTTATGTCTTTTCTGATTGCAAAAATAAAGCCCAACTACACCAGACATCTAGGAGACGTGCACCCACAGGGTCTTGTCTACATGTTAGTATAAACGTTAGTGGTTAGTCTGTGGGATACTATAAGCTCTAAAAGAAAGCATTCACCCTCTCTGGAGGCCAGCAGAGACCCTTGGGCTCAGTGCAGCTGGGCCTGTGTAGGTGAATATGTAGGTGAAGGCGAGTGATCATGACTGCACTGTTACAAAGCAAAACCCGGGGCAGGGAGACCCAGCACAGAGAAGGAATGGGAGTCACCAGCATGGTACATGCATCAGGGCATCCAGGCTAACGAACTACAGCAGAGTCAGCACCACAGAATCTTGTGAATGAAAAGTAAGCATCAGTCACTGCATTAACCCTGATGTCTTTCATGAAGATGAACGTGACTAAGATCAACAGCATGCCTTTAACAAAAACAGATGGGAGAGGTCATATGGTGAAATATGTTATTATTAACACCCTAACTTTGTCTTGCAAGTAGGTTATTGTGTGTGTATTTGGTTTACAATAAGTTTTTTAAAATACACTAAATAAATGCAGGCCATGGTTGGCCCAATTATTAGATGTCTCATGGACCTCAGGCTGTGATTAATCCAACATTGTATACCTAGGATCCAGCTTGAGATGCTCTGTGTATGTGTGTGTGTAAGAACAGTTGAGGGTTCTAAATGACTTGAGGATATCAGTAGTAGCATGCATATAGTCACTGCTCAACAAATATTACTAGATCTACTACTATTCCTAGTGTTATGGTTACAGTTTCTTTCTCAGGGATACAGTATATTTCTGTTTCAGGCCATTGCTGTATTCTTGGGAAAGAAGATAATGGGTTTGAATGCACTTGATACCTAGACAGAAGTCATAACCTCTTTCTTCTCAGTTCCTCATCTTCTCCACAGGGCTGCTTCTCATTTACCTTGAAGATTTAACTTTATGATTACTGTTTCAGAGATCCTGCCTGTCATCTCTCACTTTTACATTATATTGCTAAAAATCTCATGGTGCCCATAAAACTTTATAATTGTTTATTGCCTCTGGGCTTTCTGGACAAGAGTTGTATGATTCATCAGTGTGTATCATATCACCCAGGGACCAACTCTTAGTAGGTAATCAGCAGGCACATATTTATGAACAAAAAGAAGTCTGGTGATTATACAGGTCATTGTGAGCCTTGACTGTACTAGGAGAGTATTAATGGTCTTGGTGTTACTTAAAATATTCACTGACTTCCCAAAGCAGACATGTTCATTGGTTTCATGAAAAAAATGAATTGGACATTGTAAAGTTAAACTTTCTTTGTAGTATACTCTTTCTCAAATGAAAGGCATAGGACCTGCACAGGCTTCTTAGTGCCTTTAGAACCAACTACCCATTAGCTAACGGTTTACACAAGAAAAGGGAAAGGCAGATCTTTAGATGTGTTCATGTCATTCTCTTCTGATTTTACTCCGTCCTCTTCTGTGAAAACACAGAACATCCTTGTTGTTCTTCTGGCTCAGGCATGGCTTCCTTTAGCATTGCAACACTTACTTCAGTTCATAGGCAGCTGAGTGGAGGGCATGGTGTACAGCCAGGGCTGGCCGAGGGTCCCAGGTCCTCAGAGGGAGGTGCAAAGCACTTTGTTCTCCTGGGGCTTTGATGGTTCTTGGGTACAACAGTGGGCTGGGCTGGTGAAACCCACTGATTGTTTAGATTCATCCATGTCTTGAGTGCAGTTTTGTATTTGTGCTCAAATCAGTGTGCTTTTGTCTGAACTTCTTGTGAGTACTCCTGTATTATACACAGTTACAGGTGGTTGGTTGAGGTCATTAAAGGCGCCACCAACTAGGTGCTTCCCACTCTGGCTCCTCAGTCAGTTTCGGGGTGTCTACTGTGGCTTTAGTTATAGAGGAGAACTAAAAGCATGAGTGAGAGTAGATGGGACCATGGACTCAAAGCTGGAAATGATACGATCCTTTCCTGGTGTGATGCCAAATAATTGTTTTATCTTTCATTTTCTGGTCTTTTTAAGTAGCCCAAGCCTCTGACTCCCGAGTTGCTAGGGTAACAAGTGTCCACCTACACACTCCACTTGGCTGTTGATTTTCTTAGTTATGCATGAAGGTGGTGAATCTAGTTTTCCCTTTCAGTTACCCAGTTGCAACATATTAAATACTGTGCCAGCTGCATTTGTCAGCCGTCTTTCCTGTCTTCCATCTAGAGAATCGCTGTAGTGACACATAAGGAGAACTTGGGAAAATCCCATTCATATATATTAAAATCTTTCTAAACTTTCACACTAACCCTTACAAGAAACTTTAGAAAAGGCCTTTAGAATAACGTACCTTGGAAGGGTTAGTGTGAAAGTTATTAGTACATAAATACATCCATTTAAAAAATACGTAAAGTGAGTCACTGAAAATTGTCTTACTCCAGATCACTAGAGCTGTTGCATAGCAGGGGCATGACTCATAGTGGGTCTGTGTGACTCGGCGCCTGTACCCAACACTGTCTGTCTTTGCCAGGGGCAGAGACCTAGGTAACCATCCCACATGGGCACAGATATCCTGTTGCTGACCATAGAACCACTGGTTCAGCCTTTCTTAGATGAATGTGTGTGGCACACACAGCTAATACGGCCAGCTAAATGAATACAGCTGCTACAAAGAGAAAATCGAGTCACACCCAGAATCACAGGCATTCACTAGTGGAAAACTAGTGTATAATAGTTGTGTATGCGTCCCTATATTGGGTTACTTCCAGTTAAGCTCTCTGGTTTATGAGAGTTTATATTTAAGTAGCACATACAAAAAGTGGAGGTCTTTAGTATAATTCTGCCTGTTGTGTAGCTGTGGAAGTTGTTGTCCTGTGGTTAAGTGGCTTTCTTAAGTATTAACGTGTTGCATTTATAAATGGTTCACATGCCCTGTGGATTCAATTACTTGCTTCCAGACCATTTGCAAAATTTCCATATAGGCCATTGATGACTTGGAAGGAAACATAACGGTAAGATTATGTTCAGTGTGCAGCCCAAGGTAGGGTGGAAAACCCAACAGGGAATTCCACATCCCTATGCAGGCTGTCCTCCTGAGATCTCAGCTGCCCCACTTGTATGTGATTTTTTTTCATTTTAAATGATTTTTTTCTTTTAAATAATGGTTATTAGATGTTATGAGATTCCTAAAATTTCCCATTTGGTAGCAGCCATTTAACTGAAATTTTTATTATGCCTAAGTGATTAATTTTCTGGGAATTTAGAAATACTATAGAAATGATTGAGTTTCCCTCTTTAGAAAACGCTACACCATACCTTTGGTGTGGAAACTAATTTAGTTCAACCTTTTTTTTTTTAACCTTTCTTCAAAAATATTCCTGCAGAAGGAGAGCCTATCATTTTGAGTCAAAATCAGTGATTTGCCGTAAAAATCTTGGTTTCTAAGCACTGAATTCATTTATGGTGATTTGACTTTCAGCATTTGGTGTGACTGCGGAGAGCTAAGTGGGTTATTTTGTGCCTTTTGTTCTACTTCTGTCTATAATTTTTTCCATTTCCATGTGGCCTTACAAAACTGACTAGGGACCAAGGAGACTCTCTGTCCTTAGGAAGACAATGACCTGTGGCTTGGCTAGTTTGGCCAGTGGAATCCACCCTCCCCATACCTCCAAAGTTGTGGCTACCTCCAGAGTTGTGGCAAGCACTACCCTGGACAGGGACTGCCTTGAGCTTTCCTCATAGAATAAGAATGAGGCTTTGCTGTGGGAGTCAGCTGCACACTGCTTCTCCTGATGCTGCGGACAGCGGTGTGCATACTGTTTTTACTGACCTAGGTGTGATAGTGCCAGGTGAGTTGTTTGTGTTGAGGTTGGAAAGCCATCTATTTAAGATGAGAAAATTTTTTCTTGGAGATTTTCATTAGTAGAATTTTATCTGCAAATTGGGTAAGGAGAAAAGAAAGATCCAAAAGTAGCAAGTCAGCGGTTTCTTAAGAGAGCTGGATCATGTCCTAGGTGCTTCCTGATACATGGCACTTCCTTTACTTTAGGCAGGACGTTCTAAGCTTCTCATCCCCTCTCACAGTTTCATCGAGAATTTCATCCTCAGTGAGACTTGCTTCAAACACAGAGCATCATATTTTACTCTTAGACCTGTATGGCAGCTCTGAGTTAGAACTCCAATGACTTATTCTTGATACCTGAGTAATTACCCTTACTCGCTGCTCTTGCTTATGTTCTGGATGCAGAGATGACACAGCATCCTTGGAAAGGCCCTGCGAGGCCTCCTGTCGCCTAGTACTGAGCTTTGTGGTGTATTAAGGGTCACCTTGAGTACATGTGATCACCTGTAGGTTTCTGAGACTCCTGGTTCTTAAGAAGGTCACGTCTTAAGAATGCTTAGTGTGGCTGGGAAGGTAGCTCAGTGGTAGAGTGCTTGTCTCACATGCATGAGGCCCTGGGTTCGATTCCTCAGCACCACATACATAGAAAAAGCCAGAAGTGGGAGCTGTGGCTCAAGTGGTAGAGTGATCAAAATACACCCTTGTAAGACACCCTTGTACTGCTTTTTAATCAAACATGTGAAAACTTGGTTTGCTTTAAGATAATGTGTATCTTTCAATCTTCCCTGTAGGTGGGGATAATTCTTCATTATTCTACCCTTGCCACAGTACTATGGGTGGGAGTAACCGCTCGAAATATTTATAAACAAGTCACTAAGAAAGCTAAAAGATGCCAAGATCCCGACGAGCCTCCGCCTCCGCCGAGACCCATGCTCAGGTATCCGGTCTTCGTCGAATTGTCTTAAATGTGTATCGAATTGTGTTTGCTTTAGTTGAAGCCTGGTCATAAGATGGAACAAGAAGTACAGAAGTGAAAGAATGAATGTAGGAGCCGCACCGTCATGCTTCTGAATGTAGGTTCTTTATTTTCCTGAGGAGGCGGGGCGGCCTCAGCCTCCACAGCCCTCCACCATGTTCATGCCCCACGCGGTCGGCTGCTGCCTCCTCCCTGCAGGATGTCATGGCGGGCACTGGCCATGGCCTAGGGCACCAGAGGGCTCTGTGCAATGTGAACTGTTAATGTTTATTGCCTTGAGGTCATGCACGGGTCATGGATTTTAAGAGGGCAGCAATTTGTTTACTTCCTGTGAAAGATGAAACACATCCAGAGTTATGTCCTTCTTTCCTATTACAATAAAAAGACGAATAAGTGAAGCATCCTGCTGGGGTGAGTAGAACTGTCACCTGTGATGACTGAGTTTTGGCTGCGGGCTGAAGTCTTGGGGGCTCCCCACATGCCCTGTTCTAGAGGCTTTTACAGGAGCTGGACTGGCTATGGGCCTGGGGGGCCCTGATATAGAAGACATGGAAATACAAAACTGCCTTGACCATCCAAAAAAAGAAACCCTCAATTTGGCCATGGGGACATGATGGACTCTATGCTGGACCTCTGGTATCAACCTTCCCTTGCAGTCCGTTAGGTGTCCTCCAAGTAATGCATGCCCTTTGGCTGGGCTCTAGGCTCCAGACCTCTGAGCACCATATTAAAATAGGAGCAGCCTCTGAAGATTTGTAACCAAGAGAATAGCTAAACACAATTGTTGTTTTAGAGTGGCCAGATGATATTAGTTGGCATGAGTGACCTGATAATAAGGAAATCTGCTGAGGTCAGTACCACGGTCTACATGAGAACTGAAGCTGTCTAGAGTGTCCAGAGAGAAGAGAGAGCACAAGTTCAGGGGGCATGAGACAATTCCCTCAGGATTAATGGCAAACTGGGTTGAAGAATGTATGAGCATGAAGAAGTTGAAGGTGGCTACACACAGCCTGCTCCAGTTTATTAGGCCGCTCAGAGATCTGGTGTTCCCTGAGAACCTGAGAAATGATAGAGGAGGGAGGAGGGGGGGAGGGGCCAGGGGTGGAGGGTGATGAACTCACCAGAGCTTTCTTGTGGTAAGCATTTGGTTTTAGAGGTCCAGTGCTTAGCAGGAGACACTTCCACGTGCTGTGTTGAAGCCATAGGAAAGATTGGTTAAGAAAGGAGTACAACTTGAGCTACATCCATGTCTTACCTGTGGGCCATGGAAGCATGGAAGCACTGCTAGGAGATATAACACCTGATAGTGTAGATGGTTCTGGGGCTACGGGTACAGAGTGTCCTGGCTGCTGGTTCAGGACCGTGCCATGCGGTAGGAAGCCGACCATTTTTAAGCACAAAAGAGAATGACAAGAAACCATAAATAGAAATATGTGCCAGGGTCTTTGCTCTATCCCATTCATTGTAGAGGGGAGCTGTTTCTGGGGAAGGAGTAGCTGCAGAAGTCAGATTCTAGCCCTCTGATGAGTACCCAGCCCCATCTGTTTCTCTGTTTTTGTTTTTGTTTTTACAGATATTCAGATATCTTTCTAGGCACAAAGTTTTTCTTGTTACAACCAGCTACCACTCTGTCTTCTTGAGTTCTTACCACTACTCTGTGCCCTTGGCTATCACCAACTGCCCCACTGGGAAGAAATCAGGGCATTCTGAACACTGGTTTCTGGCCTCCCCAAATCCTCTGTTGTTCTTGGTTGCCTGGAGGGGATCCTTTATGCAGAAGTTGGAGGCTGACTTGAGGGGATCCTTTATGCAGAAGCTGGAGGCTCAGGATGTGCCAAGTTAATTGCTAAACATGGTTACAGTTGTCTGAACTCTGAACAAGATCTTAATTGTAACAACTTGAAAAAGAAACTACTTCCCCCTAAAATACAAAGCTGAAACCCTATCCGGCTGCCGTTCTCCACCTGTCCACAGGGTGGCAGGAGCTGACCAACTTTCCTCCGTTTGGAAACGTCCCAGGCCTTGTGCTTTTAAAAAAGATTAAAAAAAAAAATGGTCATATGTACATAGTGATTGAGCTATTATGATCCTCTGCTAAGACCATTTAAAATGATGGCAATTGAAATGAACTCCAAGATAAGGACACAAGTTTTTTGTTGTTGTTTTTAATGTACTATGTGAAGTTATTTCTTTTTTTCCTTCATTATCCCCTCTCTGTTCTATCCCCTGTTGTCAGTTTTTTATTTTGGCATCGTGTGTCTTGAATATGTGTTCATCTGATTTGGGGAAGGGAAGAGGAATAACAAAATGGTGAGCTGAAGGACAAAGGGTGAACCAATGCAACACTGATACTCACAAGTCACTATGTTGGAAGTGAACTTTACAACTTTGTGGGAGGGGAGCCAGAGAAGGAAGGGAAAATGGAAGAAAACAAGGCAGGGGGTGACAATGTTCCCCAAGAAATGTACCCATTCTCTCATGTACCGTACATCACACAATAACCTTTTTAAAAACGTTGGATAAAAAAGAATTTTTTTCTTCCAGTTAAAAAAAGCAGTCTGTCAAAGGACTCAAGGTATTATTGGAGTAAATAATAAATAATTTTTAAGGAATGAGTTCAGAAGTGTGGAGACACTGGAAAATACGCCTTAAGAAATGAAACAGGCTAACGAGCAAGTGTTCCCGTTCTTCCTCATTCTAGGTTCTACCTGATTGGTGGTGGAATTCCCATCATTGTTTGTGGGATAACAGCGGCAGCAAACATCAGGAATTACGGCAGTCGGCCAAGTGCACCCTAGTGAGTATTTTGCATTCTCTATGTCCCTGACCCATTTGCTGCTCTTGTAAGCATTTCTAGGTACTACAGTTTAGCACACCTTCCTAAATCATGTTACATACTTGCCATCTAAGCCGGTTCACCGTGTTCTCTCCTAGTTGTTGGATGGCATGGGAACCCTCCTTGGGAGCCTTCTATGGACCTGCCAGTTTCATCACTTTCGTAAATTGTATGTATTTTCTAAGCATATTTATTCAGTTGAAAAGACACCCTGAGCGCAAATACGAGCTTAAGGAGCCCACAGAGGAGCAGCAGAGACTGGCAGCCAATGAAAATGGTGAAGTAACCCATCAGGACTCGATGTCTTTGTCTCTGATATCTACGTCAGCCTTGGAAAATGAGCACACTTTTCATTCTCAGCTCCTGGGGGCCAGCCTCACATTGCTCTTGTATGTTGCCCTGTGGATGTTCGGGGCCTTGGCCGTTTCATTGTATTATCCCTTGGACTTAGTTTTCAGCTTCTTTTTTGGAGCCACGTGTTTGAGCTTCAGTGCTTTCGTCATGGTTCACCATTGTGTCAGCAGGGAGGATGTCAGACTCGCGTGGATCATGACTTGCTGCCCTGGACGGAGCTCCTACTCAGTGCAGGTCAATGTGCAGGCCCCCAACTCCAGTGGGACGAACGGCGAGGCACCCAAGTGCACCAATAGCAGTGCAGAGTCTTCATGCACCAACAAAAGTGCATCGAGCTTCAAAAATTCCTCCCAGGGCTGCAAGTTAACAAACCTTCAGGCCGCTGCCGCGCAGTGCCATACCAACTCCTTACCTTTGAACTCCACGCCTCAGCTCGATAATAGTCTAACGGAACATTCGATGGACAACGATATTAAGATGCATGTGGCACCTGTGGATGTACAGTTTCGAACAAATGTGCACCCAAGTCGCCATCATAAAAACCGAAGTAAAGGCCACCGGGCAAGCAGACTCACCGTCCTAAGAGAATATGCCTACGATGTCCCAACCAGCGTGGAAGGAAGTGTGCAGAACGGCATGCCTAAAAGCCGGCAGGGCAATAATGAGGGCCATTCACGAAGTCGGAGGGCTTATTTAGCCTACAGGGAAAGACAGTACAACCCGCCCCAGCAAGACAGCAGTGATGCTTGTAGCACACTTCCTAAAAGTAGCCGAAATTTTGAAAAGCCTGTTTCAACTAGCAGTAAAAAGGATACATTAAGGAAGTCAACCGTGGTCGAACTTGAAAGTCCACAGAAGTCTTATGGCCTCAACTTAGCTGTTCAGAATGGACCAATGAAAAGCAGTGGGCAGGAAGGACCCACCTCACTCAGTCCTGATAGCACTGGCAATGTTAGGACTGGGTTATGGAAACACGAAACTACTGTGTAGTGTCGCTGGGTATCCTTGGCAGAAATTGATACGAACTGCAATTGGCACATTCCTTTAAGCTATGGACATTCAACAAACCAAACTGTTTACAGTGACTTTAGGGATTGGAAACAATTTTGAATTTTGGATTTTACTTATTTTATGTCCCTACATTGTTGCCTTTTTTTTTAAAGGAAAATGAAAGACTCCTTTAAACCATTATTTTTACATTTCAAAGTACCAACAGGATATTTTGGGAACCTGAACTGTAATTTCCTAGAATCTGTAATAATATCTACTTAACATTTCAAGCTTGTATTTAATAAAATAATAGGTATTTGTCTTTGTGTCATTTCTATTTTCATATTTTATCCATATAAAGGCATTTCACTGTTTGAATGTTTTCTGCAGCACATTATTTAAATGAGAATTAACTGTAAGTCTCTTTATTAGGCCTGTGGGTTAACTATACCAATTCTGACATTAAAACCATTATGAATCTTGAGTCGGCATGTTTTATAAATGTCCCTTTGACTCTGCAGGTTTTAAAAATAATCTCAGAATAGTATTTTTAAGTGGAAGTGCCTATAAAGAATCTTGTCCAAAGTTGCATAGTTTTATCACATCCCTTTGATGCTATGAATACTGTTTCCACATTTTTGTGGCTTTGGGGTGGTTTATATTTGAGTCTGTATTTCTTACTGAGTATTTTTAGTGAGTGCATCCTGCACGTGTGTTGCTCGAAATATAAGTGAACATCTCCCAAATAAGGTTCACGTTCACTCGTTCAAAATCAGTCTGGATGTTGGCTTTTGCTTGTGCTTAACCAGAGCAGGTTTCTTAGGTGGATGCTGAAGTCCTGACCTTTGCGTTCCACTTCTGTGGCAAAGCAGTGCCGTTCCACACGTCATCAGGAGTTGCCACCCACACCGCAGTCCTTTCCCTTCCTGTCCTCAGACTCCCTGGGTTCCCAGTCCCTGCGCAGATGCAAGACAGTGCTTCAGAAATCGCACAGCTTAGATCTATTTTCAGCAGAGTCTAAAGGTTTGAATCAAATCAGACTGCAAAGTACATATTTAAGAAGTGCTAAAAGAGGCAAGCAGCTTAACTTGATAAACCTCAAATTCGGAGATTAACTGCTTCCTTACAGAGCGGTGCTCAGGGACACTGCGAGCTACCATTGTCACGGCCTCATTCACTTTGCCTCGGGCCCCTGCATTAGTAGCAAGTTATTTTGCTTTACAACAATAAAACTAATACTCTTTCAGCCCTGTTTTCTTTAAAGGTGTTAGAGACATTCTCTTTTGGAGGGAAACAAGGCAGCTAACCAAAAGATTTTCTACTTGTACATTTTAACCTAGAATGGTATTAAAATACACACAGTGCCTTTAAATGTACAGGGTCTTCTGATGCATTGATATATTTCTTGGGGGCAAGACAATTGAAAATAACCAAGATTAGCTAGTTAGAAGTAGAGTGAGCCAGGCACTGGTAGCTCACACCTGTAATCCTAACCACTCAGGCGGCTGAGACCCGTAGGGTCACAGTTGAGGGCCAGCCTGAGTGTGAAATTTGGTGAGACTTTACCTCAAGAAAGGAAAAAAGTCAAAAAACCATGCTGGAGGCATGGGCTCAACTAGTAGAATGCTAGCCAAGCAAGAACAAGCAAGCAAGCTAAGCAAGTCAGAGACCTTGAGTTAAATTCTGGTACTAGCAAAGAAAGAGTATAGGGGATGGGGAGAGGAAAGGGGAAAACAGGAAAGGAAAAAAGGTGAGTGAACACGAAGTGGGGTGGGGGGAGGAGGAGAATGAACAGCCAGGTACAATGATTAATGCCTACGATTTCAGCCACTCTGGAGGATTTTCAGTGTGAAGTCAGCTTAGGAAAAAAGTTAGATCTCATCTCAAATGGATGTGGTAGTATAAACCTGTCATTCCAGCTATGACAGCGTCTATAAGTAGGAAGATCATAGTCCAGTGCCAGGTAAAAAGCAAGACCCTATTTGAAAAATAAAGTGGAAGGGGATAGAAATGCAGCTCAAGTGATAAAGCAACCGGTCTAGCAAGCACAAGGCCATGAGTTTAAATCCCAATACTACTACTCCCAAATGGAGTAAATTGATTTTATCTCTGCTAATTTTTTTCACAATTCATTTTATTTTATGTAATGCATTATCACAGTGTTGAGCCTGTTTGCCCTGTTGGTCAGCTGTACTCACAGAGAGAACTTTGCTGCTGTTCTTTTGCCCACCTTTCCACAGGAAGTGAGGCATTTTCTTACCTGGAAACGTTGTCTTTTCCTTATTTATTAGCTCCAGCATAACTTCCTATATAGACCATAAAGAACAGGAGTTGGAGTGGAAGAAGACATGAAAAGAACACAAAAAGCTCTTGAAGAAAATGAAGGTTTCACTAAAAATGTCCAGAAGGTTGTGTTCTAGAAAGTGATGAGCAAGCACTTTGCGCAATCCACAGAATTTTATTGAATTAAAATTTGATGTTAACACACGGGATGTGAATAATACATTGTCTCGCTCTACCTTTGTCATTTATGATTTATGACTTGTTACTGGCTTTATTTTTCATAGAATTATAAACTGATAAAAGACACCTCAGTTTTCTTAGAGAGATCTCTTTTTCTCCCCATTTAAAAATTTTGACAACTTTGACTCAAAAAAACTTGAGCTGTTTGATGGCCATTAAACCATGTCCAGGACAAGCAGTGTGTTTGCTGATGTGTTTGCTTAATTCTCATCCTACGTAGTTTCATAATGGACTATACTGGATAATAGTTGACATAGGGGAACATACAGTTTCTTAGGCTATTTCATGAAAGGTATTTTTAGAACATCCCATATAAGATGTGTGCTAAGCATGTTTTATATTAATATACACACATATACATACCTACATATAATGTGTATGTATTTGTTTATATGTATTATTTATATTACTTGATGCTAACCTACATTTTAGTTCAAAATTTGTTTTGTGTATGAGCACTTTTGTGGTGCTTTCTGTTTGTTTAAATGTGTATATTAATATTTGAAGTAACTAACAGGTGGTAACTGATCTCTGAATCCTGAATATTTAGATGTTTTAGATGTAATATAAATATTATGTACATGTTCATTGTATTTATATAAATAGGAGACATAGCAAGCAACATACATGTCAGTACTTGAAGACTGAAGAGAGTATGAAAGAAAATTCCTCACTTTTGTGGAGATGTGGGAAAAAGAAAAGCAGCAAGTTCTCTCTGTGTACTGACTTAACAGGGCAAACAGTATGAAGAACAACATTAAAGCAGACCTGTATATTTCAGGCATTGATTTTTAGAATGCCCAATATGAATTTATTTGGTTAAAATTACAAAAGATAAGGATAAAGATTAACTGAAAGCATATGTTAGTTTAATTCAACTAAATAATCAGGGAAGAATACATACAACAATAACCCAAAAATATTTTTAAAGTTATCTTTTTACAGTTTCTAAGATTTTTGTTTGGTTTTGCTTTTTGAGACAGATTCCTGCAAAGTTTCCAAGGCTGACCCAGAGCATGTAATCCTCCTGCCTCAAGATTTAATTCATTTAATTTGAGCATAGTCAATTCTCTGCCATCCATGGATTCAACCAAGTATGAATGAAAAGTAGTGTTTTTAAAGCATCAGTATGAATGGATTTTCTTGTCAGTTCTCAATCAGCACAGTATTGTGACTGTGTAGTAGATATTTTGTCTGGATACTGTAAAGTAATCTAAAGATGACTTTAAAATATAAGTGAATATGTATAGGTTATAGTCAAATACAGTTCCCTTTTTTACAAGCAACTGAAGCAATCGGTACAGTTCTGGTCCTGAGACAATCCACACAGACACAGGGGGATGAGTGCTTCAGCCCAAAGCTTTTATTATTTTGATACTTCCTAAACTTGAGGCATTCTATCCCATTTGCTTGTTTTGCTGTATTGTCCTTACCATTTATGTTAATGCAGTCATGTAGATCAACTTGTTTTCATTGAAATATAAATAATAAGCCCATAGATTTGCTTGCATACAGAAACACATTTAATCATTTCTGAAATCTACAATCTCATCATATGTATTCCAAATTAGATATACTCAAATGATCTATCCTGAGGTAAAATTCTCACCGAAAGCCAAGTACAGTGGTGGAATAGGCATCCAATAACAATTCCCATTCCAAAAAGGAGAAAACAGGGATGAAGAAAGGTAACAAGTCTCCAGTAAGTCTAAAGCCTAATGAGGCAAATCCCATTAGACTCTAAGAACTGAACACAATCCTCCTTAGTTTGACGTTTTGCCCTCAAACAAGAGTGGCAACACTCATCATTAACCTTAGTGACTCAGTAATAAAATCACCACTCCCTCCTGTGATACTGTGTTTTGTTGGCCTGGAGGAATGTTTTCACCGGAGACATAACAATGGTTCTATTGAACTGGACTTGAGATCAACTACCTGGTTGCTTGGAGCTCCTTGTCCCTACCAATCAATGGGTAACGGAGGAAGTGCCTTAAATGACTGGGATTAGGGATCCTGACTTCTACGTGGGCTGTGGGGTTATTACTCAGCAGTAGAAATAAGGAAGAGCACGTCTAGAATATGCCTCAGGAATTTCTTAGCATGAATATCAACAGTGAACTGTAACAAGCCAATTTGGACAAAGCTACTAATGGCCATGGCCCTTGGGTAATGAAAGCCTGGGTTGCCCTACCAGATAACAAGGCAGATGTTTGCTGAAGGAAGAGGGCATACAACGTGGGGATTGGAAGAAGTTAGTTATATATACCAGTGGTAGTTAGAGAAATGAGGGTTTATAGTGAACATGTCCTTTTATTCTGGATACATGTGCATACATATGTAGCAAATACCTTTGCTTCTTTCCCTTATTCCATCCTTTAACAGACAGATTAACTATGAAATAGTGTGTTGTTAATTTTACATCACAGTATGTAATTATGGGATATGAAGAAAATACAACTTGGGACTTTGCCTCTTCTGGGAAGGGTTTAGTGTATTTGGGATTTTCTGTATGAAGTGTCTAATGATGTTGAATAATGATGTTATTAATGTGTGGCAATTGTGTTTTGAGAAGAGGCATGGGAAGAAACAAGGTGGCAGGTGTGTAAGAATGGAAGTGTCCCCAGATGATACCAGCAGTTTTGATGGTAGACTTTAAAGAAGATGGGCATTCCTAGTGTGGTTGGGATCAGCCCATCCATTGAGGGTCTGAGTGGAACAGAGAGCAAAGGAAAGGAAAATTCAACCCCCTCTCCCTCCTTTTTTGAGCTAGAACGTCTTTTGTCCTCCACTAGGACTCCATCGTCTGCA